CACAGGAAAGCTTGAGCTCACTGGGAAACTTGACATGGAGGTGCTTGATAACTTTATATACCTGGGATCAGGCATCAATTGTAATGACTTATGCAAAAAAATGAAGTACCACTAAGAATCGCGATGGCAAAGGGTGTCATGGCACAGCTCCATAAGATATGGAAGGGCAAAAACATATCCTATAAAACCAAGGCCAATCTTGTACGCACTCTGGTGTTCTCTATATTCTTGTACGGAGTGGACTTGGACCCTGAAGAAAGCTGACCGTGACCGTAACGATGCTTTGAGATGTGGTGCTGTCGTAGGATGCTGAGAATTCCTTGGAAAGCACATCGCACCAACGTGTCGATCCTGCAGGAGCTAAAAGTACCTACACACAAGGCTTTCCATCATTTGCCTATGTATATGATCTTGGAATACTTTAGCCACATTGCCAGGATGAATGACGATAGCCTGGAGAGGTTAATGGTCACTGCCAAAGTAGAAGGAAAAGACCACATAAAAGAAGCCCGACACGTTAGACTGATCAGATTCGTGTCGCTCTCGATACCACAGTTCACGATGCTTTACACTCGGCGGCAGATCGAGACGGATGGCGTCACGTAATCCGCAATAAACTAACTAAGCGGTAATGTAGAGGTGGTCACCACCCTCAGCATTGAAGAAACCGAAGCGAAGAGGAGTATATGATGGGTAAAATATATAGAGATGTAGTATTTTATATTTATACCTTTTGAGGTGTTGTGTACATACCTACTTAATGTGATAAATCATGCTATATCTTGATTATCTTTTATGATTTTAAATAAATTGGTACTTAATTGCTGACGATTAAAAGATTGATAGGTGCGCTTTTTATTTGTGTATCTACATATCCATGAATATATAATACCAAAAAATAAACAACGACGATTAATTGTTTATGTACCTTAAAATTGAACATCATTAAAACTATATTTTTTAGGTTTCCGTATCTCAAGAGGAAAAAGCTGAACCCTTATAAGATCAGTTTTTTGTCCATCTGTCTGTCTTATCATATGTCTGTATAGACCCTTTATCTCGGAAAAGTCTGGAGGTATCAAGTTAAAATTTAAACCATATACTCAGGTCTATGGTCCCTTTGAAGCTGTGAAAAAAATCAAGCTTCCAAGTTAACGTAAGAAAAAGGTACGGCCGTTTATGTTGCGTACCTACAAAGGACATTGTTCAGCGTCCATACATAGTTAGCCTAAGAACCAACAATCATGAAATATTATTTTCTAGGTTCAAAATCGTAAGTAAATGACTGTAAAAACAAAGATTATTGACGGACACTTCTGAGAACTTAAATTATTAGGAAAACTTAAAATTTTTTGAGGTTATGTTTAATATTCAATGAAACATAGGTCAACCTATGAATTTAGTATAAACTCAGTATGAAGTGAATTAATATTACAAGTAATTCATTTTATTCGGTGCGATTTTAAAGAAGAACTATTATGAAAAACTTGGTTAGGTAGGAATCATGAATAAAATAAAAACTGTAGTTTTGCTTCTTTTTTGTTGACTATTTTTCACATAGTTGTATCATATTTCAATATTGTATTTATTTGTATATCACATGTATATTGTGTAAATATGCAGCGTGAATGTGTATCGAGTGTTGTGTTCTTGAATAATTAAGCAGTATGATCCTCTCAGGATGTTGTGGCACAGGTTCACTAGCACTTGGTTATAGGGGCTCTTCTCTTTGGTAACATCGATGGCATATTAGATAGCCAAAATAGTTAAATTTAAGGAAAAACAATCGCAAATAAACACACAACAGGTAATCCGAAACGAGAATGCACTTTCCGGTATAATAAACTACTCTTTGGAATGTACGAATGCCACAGATTACTATGAATGCAAACTGCATGCACCACAACCACAGAATAACGAGTTTTATGCCGGCCCTTCACTTGACAACAGTTTGTCCTTGTCATGCTTAATAAGGAATGAAAAGGATCGACTGATGTCATGTTTTAAAATAGCAAATACGAATAGCCAAGTGAAGTGCCGGCATTAGGAAGAAAGAGTGTTTTGTTTGCAGCGCTGCCATAGATTATACACATAAAATGGTATTTATTGTCTCAGATTATTTTTTAACTTTTTAATTTAGCTTACTTAACTGGAAGTGTCCGTGACAATCTAAATACTGATAATTATCGCAAAAAATATACTAAGAATTATCATAAATGCCAAATTGGTGTTGGTTCTTAGGCCAATTTTAACATTGTCCTTTGTACGGAACCCTCTGTGGCCAGTCCGAATCGCATTTGTTCAGTTTCCTTTTTATTAAAATTTGTAGATTACCCATCAAATATAGTTTTAATTACTACTAATAAATATTTTTACATTACATACAAGATATTGCTACTGACCTCACATTGACAAGGTTTTTTTGTGAAAGTTGAGAAATGGTCATACAAAGACTGTCTGTCACTATCCTTTATAGGATTAATGAGTGAAACTGGTTTAATCTTGTGTAAAGTATACCAGGCCACGGTTGTGGGGGCAAGTGGTTAATGACTTGTTTCCTCAAGATAATATTACTTTTTACAGATCAATCGATCGATAGTTACGTTGAACAAATATAATCAATATTCACTAGTTGTTATTGAGCCTCATTTTATATACCTAGTTTTTCTTGCTTATTTAAGGTGGCTAAAATTTTATTTGTAAAGTTTTTGGACTTGCCTGCCTAGACTGCAACATTTTTATAGAAAACTAGCTGACCCAGCGAACTTCGTACCGCCATAAAATAGGGGCTGGTGGTTGAAGGGTGAAAATTTTGGGTTGTATGTGCCTCAGAATACAGAACAACGTACATAATATTTTTTAATGACGAACCACGAAAAAAATAAATTTATTCCGAAAAATAAAAAAATTAAAGGGTTAGGGTCCACCACTTAGGGGTATGAAAAATAGATAGTAGCCGATTCTCAGACCTACTGAATATGCATATAAAATTTCATAAAAATCGGTCAAGCCGTTTCGGGGGAGCATGGTAACTATCATTGTGACCCGAGAATTTTATATATAAAGAGATTACCATAATTTTGGTCACTTGTACGTATTATCAAAGAAGTCGAAGAATCAACGTACCGAGAATGTTTGCCTATCGTATCCCGTATATATAGTCATTAATTCTGGTACAATCCATACTCATAATTGAAGAAATACTTCTCATAAAGGAAGGTAGGCTAATTACCTTTTACATAATTAATATTACGTAGCAGGTGTTAAGTTTACATTAATATGTTAGTCGGAGTCAATACACGAAGAGCTCCTACAATATCGGTGTCAATAGTACTACTATGTTTGATTGACCCCCGGGCGTGAATCATATTTTTATTGGTCGTCTCTATCATCATCGATGTATTGATAAGGTAAATGCTCAAAGATTGGTATTGACCGATCTTGGTTAAGAACATACATTGCCACTTTCAATATATCCGTAATGAATAGGATAATAACGTTGCGAAGTTTAACTTTTAATTTTCTTCTGTAATTTTTTAAACAGGTCGATTAACCAGATTTTCTATCATCAGGGAATCGAATATTAGATCATTCAGTCGGTACCATGGGCACTTAAATAACGGGGATTGTCACCTCGAGCAGAGGCACCTACTCTTTTTTCCAATGCGTGATTTAATAACCCGCATGGGTTGCGACCGAACAAAAAATGCCGAGGTTATTTCAAAATAAACTAATAAAGTTATTCCCGCACCTACTTGATTCTCTGTTACCCAATTGTGAATTGAATAAGTATCTCTTATCTATTAGACAAGTCCGTCCGTCCGTGGTGCTGTTTCAGCGGCCAAACCGTAAGAGATAGATAAAGAGAATGTTTAAGTTATAAGTTGAGAATAGTCTGATAAGACTACAAACCGGATGTGAGTAACGTAGCACTTCCGGTTTTCGAGAAATCACGTGATTTCTGTTTCAAACGAAACCACACAAAATCTCCGAAGTTCTCAATTAATTCATTTTTTTTATATTTTGTTTTTTGGTGAACATTTGGTTCACTGGTTTGCTAGTATTAAATAATCTTAAACTTATTTTACTAAGTTTAGGCTTTTGCGCGATACTTACATATACATACACATATTAAAGTCAAAAAGCGACGCGATCGGTTTGCAAATCTACGACGGTCAGTGAGACCTTGTATTTACTAAGAAAACAGGAAGCGCTGTTTTTTATCTCTGTTTTATTTAATAGGTACGGTGTCGTAAGAATTGAAAAGTGACATCAAATCTTATCAAAATGGAATTGAAGATAAATAGAGAAAACCGTACTTTAAGGTCTGTAAAGTCCGAGAAGATCAGAAAATGTCGCATACTTAATTACTTACTGACAATCTTGGTGTTCAAGTGACTTGCATAGGTACCGGCTTACACGTCTTGAGTGAGGTCCTAGGCGGATTCAGTTTCCTCCCGAGTGAACTAAATATAGAACAAGTAACTTTTGTAATAGCCTTAGGTTGGTTTATCAGAATGTAAAACCGTTAGTTAAATTTTTCATAGGACAGGTAGAGGCGACGTCTGCTGTCTGTGTATGATACATAATGGAACAATTACAAAGATCGATTGCAGTTAACGCGTTTGGTCTGCGACCGTAGAAGCTAATCAACTTTCGCAATTTCCGGGCAAAGAATGAGCCTTGCTTCGGAAGGCACATCAAGCGTTTGGTCCCAACTTGGAATCAATTTCTATTGATCCTTAGTCTATTTTTTCCTCAGGGCCAAGAGTGACACCATGATATATACGTGTCCGGCCCACTTCCATACTTCGGATATACCACCCTTTTTCTATTATAGCATCAGTAACTTTGTTATTTTAAGGAGCCTAATGTTCGTGTTCCGGATCACTTTACATCACTTTACACTTTTGTTGTGAGCCAATTTATAGCTCCGCATGCTGTGTTATGGACTAGCTGAATTTAAAAGTATAATGTACTAATCGGTTCTATTGTTTCAGGTGTTGTATTTCCTGGTCTGGGTGAGACGGTGCCCAATGGGTACGAGCTGCTGGAATTGACGCCTACTGGCCTACCGGCGGACCTGAACCATGGCTCTATGCGATCTCCGGAGTGCTTTCTTTGTATTCGAAGGGGGAGGGAAAGACCACCTCTTGTTGATATTGGTGAGTAGTAGTAACCAAGACACTTATCTTAAAATAACATTAAAAAAAAAACAATTATTTAATGAATAAGTTAAGTAAGTATACATATTTTGACAAGGTTATAAACTTCACTATATAGCTTAACTCACTAACTTTACTCAAAGGAAAGGCTCCATATTCCGATTGTATAGGTAGATTCCACGAAATTATTATTTCTTCAACCAAGTCGCGTTTTTTGTAAACGTATCATACTTCAAATCCAAAATATCTTTGAAAAAGTTGGAATAAAATCAAGATTTTTCTACTGTACTATATTGCGCGAAAGCATTACTGTACTATATTGGACAGTCCGGATAATCGCAAATTCGGACAATAGATTCTTGACTTTATAGGTACTTAGAATTTCTCCAGATATTCTAAATCAACAAAGCAATTGCGATAAGAGCTAGCGCCCACGTTTCATGTTATGTCATATTATGTTTTTATTAATAGATTGTTACGGTATATATAAACGGAGGAGTTTGTAGATTTTATCATAATCGTAAAAATTGTAGATTATAAATATTTCGTAGAAATGTTAATTGGCTGTTCACTTATCTCTCGTTTCGCACCAAAATATTTTCGTAATTGCCAAAACGCATTAATTCGCTTGTACCAATTATTTTACGAGTCAGTCAGTAGTGTCAAAAGTACTTTATACAAATTTAACATTTAGTTGTAGTATATTTCAAGTTTTCTATTTACCAGTTTGCTATGGCGAGCGCTCCTATCGTATTTTTATACAAGAAATTCAGAGAAGTGATAAGCTGATGATAACGCACTGTCCAAGCGGTTGATGGACGGGGGCACGGCATGCATTTTTTGTTATCTTTTTATATCAATCGCTTAACGCTCTGTTAGAATCCACTACTTTTCGGTTGCCATTGAATTATACTACATTTTTTACGTCCATTTTTAACAATGAGGTGTCTGGTGGAACACGAATGCGGTGCTCCACATCTTGACTCTGTAGATCGGTTTAGGAATAATAAAAACTCGCTTAGAAAAAACTTTGTTATTAAAGTTGCCGATAACAAGCGTGGTTACAGTAATATGTGTATGTTTGACATTAGCGTTTAATTATTAAAATTGTATAAAAAAATTTAGAATGATATAGGTTAGATTATGATACAATTTTTCTTTTATTCTTGGTGACATGTATTTTTTTTGCTTGTATTATTGTTATTATTATTTTTTGAATTGAAATCCTTTTAACTTCAATTTGACTGAAGTGAACCTGATTTTGATATCCTAATCCTATCTAATATTTGCTCGTTGGAGTTCAACAGAATATGCTCGAAATCAATGCTTTAACAAGTTTTGTAACCATTTTTCTACAAATAAATTATTATTATATAACTAAAAATAAAAAGCAAGTGATGTTCTATATCGAAATAAAAAATAACATCAAATTATATCGCTGCTGCTGGACACAACGAATGTTTTCTTACCTAAGTCACGGTAATAATATCATACAGTATTCTATCTTCATACAAACGGTCGGAAAGCGAGTCATACCTACGCCACTCGAGTGCGATGCAGTGTTTCCACAATGAGGGGAAATTCCCCTTTTAAGGGGAAATTAGGGTCCAGAGGGGAAGAAAAAGGGGAAAGACATGAAAAGGGGAAATTATGGGTAAAGCCTAAAATAATGCAGCACGGAACAAATTTTTTATGGAACGATACCGTGGACTAGAGTGTTGCCGTATAAAAGAAATTGTGGTAACACGTGCAGATTTTATATATCTCTTATAGATAGGATAGATTAAGACCTTTTTTTTCTTTAGTTACTACACTAGTGCCAAATCTAAAAACTACAGCAGAATAATTTTTGAGGGGAAAAATGTCCTAAGAAGGGGAAATCTGAATTGAGGCGTGGGGAAAGGAAATCATTAAAGTGGAAACACTGGTGCGATGTGCTCTCGGCGTGCACCCAGTCGCGAATGCGCCGCCGCGCCGCAACGACGACCGAACGCTTTGAATTGTTTTTTATGCAGTTAGCCGTGCTTAAACATGCGTTTTGTATTGTAAATATTTGATTTAATTAAGTAGATACCTACATAATTTAGTATGGAAAAGAACAAACGACGATCAATATCGTACAACAGCACAATTGCTGTTTTTGGTTGCTTGAACTCTTCAATAACACACCCAGAGATATCATTTTTTAAATTACCTGAAATATTGGAAAGGTAGTCTTACCTTTATAGAATATTTTTTATATACCTATCTACTAGTACGTTATTTGTTTCTAATATTTAGGTATTTCGGTTTTTCCATCGGGCAAAATATCTGGAATAATATATAAATAAGTGGTTAGGATGAAAAAAGAGACAAACGAGTAATCTACCTACACTCGCGTTAAAAACAAAACTACATAAAATACTGTAGGCTGGCGGCCCTACCGCGTGCCAACGCAGCGTTCGGTGTAGGCATTTATTTTCAAGGACAGGGCGGAGTCACAATACTGTATAGATAATATTACCGTGCCTAAGTTGAAAAATATTATCTATCGATATTGTGTAGCTATTTCATATTATTATCCAATAGTAATATTCGATTTATGTTGGTATAAAAATATACTACTTAAACCTATATATGGAGGCATAAATACAATGTGTTTATTTTATGCAGACTATATAACGCAATATAAGTAGATAATATCAAAAGTATCTGTAACGATCACGTGTTCACAGTATTATTTCTACCCACTGCAAATTAGAGGGATAGAAGAAATTATAAAGATATCTTGTGACATCATTATTAAAGTAAGACTAGATTATGCTCAATCGTCGGACCCAATTAAAATTGTCTATTGATAGCGAGGTGCAAATTGAGAGCAAGAGAGTTTTTTTATTTAACCTTTACTGATAGATAAGGAACCTCGATCAAAGTGGAAGGTTTTCCGGACCGTTAACGATTTAGTGTTTTCCATTATGCACAGACTAGCATGATAAGATTTCGGGGTACAGTTTATCAACTGTTTAATGTTGATGCTCTTATTATTTCTTGTTTTCATCAGTCTGACGTAAGAAAAAATCTACTGCACATACTTTAGATCTTCTTTTATTATTTTAGCTGTTAGCTTTTGATTAGCATACTAATCTGTTTATTCTTATTATTCGTCTATTATCCACTTGTTCTTTTTCTCGTAAATTCTTCTCAGTGAAAATAAATACTGCTAAATGACCCTATAGCGTTGACTCCGATATACCTTGTTAATAGTAGTTCCTACTTTGAGTACGAGTAGTAGGTACTATCCGATCTTTAAATCATGTACGCACATTGTAAGTTAATTATAGTGGCCGCACCGCATCGCATACGATGAACCCATTATCTGTAAAAGGTTCTTATATTGCTTTTGAATGGAATGGATGAATCATATGACCGTCTATGCGGGATCATTATAAAATATTGTATTAACGAGTACTACTTACAACAACGACAAGTTGTTTTGGTACTTGGTCCAATAATAAGTTAGATAAATGGAAACAGATGTTCCATTTATCTTCGAATAACTTTTAAGAATATAATCCCTGAGCGGTTAGTAGTACGATTCAGTCTCAAAAGTCGAACAATAAAGATATTTTTCATTTTCCACGGATCAGGTCCGTGTTATTTTCCTCACGTAACTGGGAATAATTTTGAGTAGTTAACGGAGTGTTTTGTTATCAGAACTTTAAAAGACATTTTGTGATTCGGTGGAAATATGCAAACTTTTAAAGTAACTGCCTCAAAATTTATTTTTCACAAAAACGGAATTGTGAGCTTTTTTTTGACAACCTTCTTTGAGATAAATCGAAATTGCTATACTGGCCGAATACATGCGAGCAGCGGCCGGCAAAAAAATATGACAATTCTTATCTGTTGTGTTTTGCGGACAAATAATTTACATAGTGAACTGCTATACTGGCCGAATACATGCGAGCAGCGGCCGGCAAAAAAATATGACAATTCTTATCTGTTGTGTTTTGCGGACAAATAATTTACATAGTGAACTCATATCTGTCGTGTAATTTTAAAAAAGAAAAATTTATATTACTCTGAACTAGGCATCCAAGGAGGTAACTACAAAGGTTTTATTTAAATACAAAAAACAAATGAACACCGACGCATTATTGTTATTCGTTGTTCGGCATTGATTTTTGAAAAGTAATTATTTAGTTTTAATTTCATTATTTTAGAAAAGTACTATATTAGCCTTGGCCAAAACTAGGTATTAATGGACTTACGTATATGTACATTTACACGTTCGTTCATCAATGCCTCTGTATCCCTGTACACTTGGTCTGCAATAGAGAATTAAAACTCAACATTAGCATTGTTTTTTTTTAACCTTTCCCTCCGCAGGGATAATGTACGAGGGCAAGGAGCGACTCATGGCAGACGCAGAGATGGTGTTGATGTCTGTCGGCGAACGCCTAGCTAATGTCAATAATTCAACAGCCAAGACATTCATAACATACAGGAGGGCACATCCCACGGCGCCTTGCAACGCACTTGTCGTTGTAGACATCTGTGTTATAGTGGCCAGCAAGGGAGAGTGCCCACCACATGCCTTCTGTATGATCGCTAAAAATTTAAACAAAGGTCAGTAGCAATTCATCATCATCATCATTTCAGCTGAGAGACGCCCTCTGCTGGACATAAACCTCCCCCCAAGGAATTCCAAACTGATCGGTCTTGCATCCAGCGGATTCCCGCGGCCTTCGCCAGATCGTCAGTCCACCTCACAGAACACAGAAAAAGGTTAGAAGGGTGATCATAGACCGTTTGTACGGGAACCGATGTCGCTGGCTCGCCCCCACTACACTTCCACCTAATAGATAATAACCAATCGAACCTATCAGCGCTTACACCCGAGAACAACGACGCATTCATAACCAAGTTTTGGTCAAGTTGTGTGAGCATTTGCTCACACATAACTGTGGCGCGACTGCCCCGCCCACAAGGCTCTTCTAACCTCTTTCTGTGTTCTGTGGCCTAGCACCCTACCAACGCTAAAACGTATCCGTCGTATCGGAAGTAATAATAAGAATAAATAAATTTATATTTCCATCGGTTTCTCTTCCTCGTGTTGGGGTTTCGATCGTTTGTGCTTCTGGCATACGGTTTTAGGAGAGAATTTTATGATTTTATGGAAATAAATTCTTGATAAAATTATTTAGTCTCAAAATAACAACGCTTGTAATTTGAACAAACAGAAATACCATATAACCGTATAACCATGACTCTAGAACAAATGTTAGTGATTATATTATTATGGTGCAATATTTGGAATTCTAACCCAAGGACTTTTGGAGCAGATGGCAAGATTTCTGTCGTTGCATCAACCGGTCGCCAAGTCGTCAGTATTAAAGTATCCTTAGTTCACAAACTTGCTATTTGTCAAAATGAACTGAAATTCAAGATATTTTTTATGTTAAAACGATAGCAAAGAAGCATATTACCCGCATGATGGTAAGCGGTCACCATAGCATATAGACGCTTGCGTTACCACTAATATCACTCGCAGCGTTGCCTTCCCTGACCCAATCCCCTACCCCGTGGAGACCTGGAACCTTACTCACCGACAGAAACACGACACCACCAATAAGTAGTGTTATTTTACTGTGGTCTTTTGTAAGATGGAGGTTACTTCCCCAGATAGGTGCCCCAATTTGAGCGGAAAAACTGCTTTGCCCTACCTCTCTTATTTCAAGTTTTCTTCATTATTAATGTCACGTCTTTTATCTTGTTTCATAGTAAGGCGTGGTATTTAATAACATTGTTTTAGTGTACAAGATCACGAAGCCTAATATAGGCTGTTAATTATAAACTACATATAATCTAGAAAGTCATCTTTAAGTACTTATGTTATTGAATATTTTCAAAGCGATAACTGTAGGTACCTCATCGGTATTTCAATACGGTAATTTCTTTTAAATTACAGGTTTAATGGGCAGCGATGTATTTCTATGTTATAAGAAGTCAATGAACCGTCCGCCTCTAATAGCATACAAACCAGAGGTTTTATTTAGGTGAGTTGAGAACTTACTAATTTCGAGAGTATTTCATACATTGCTGCGTACTGTATTTCGTTTGAAGTGGATGTATGTTGTTTCACAATTCATCAAATGATACTAATTGGCTGCCTTTCTAATTATACCAATGTTAAATCTACTGATTAAAGTTTTGTTTAGACTCTTGCTTTCTTTTTTTAACAGGTTTCATTTCTTAGTTCATTCATTATTGTGTTACATAATACCTAGTACGACTGAACTGAATAATTAATATTATTATTATCTCTTTAGTAATCCAATCTTATATGTACCTATATGAAATAAAAAACATGAATTTGTCAAAATATTTACAGTTCTTTGTGAGTATTTTGTACTCACTACCAGAAAATAAAAGAGAGCCACTTTTGTTTGAAAGAATCATTGTTGTCCCTCCAAACAATAAAAAAAATGTTTTATTTATGCCGGGCATAAATAGCGAACCCGGTTTTGTAAACGTACTTTACGTTTTCCACAGACTGAGGTGCGATATAAGGAGCTTAACGTAAATTGAGGATAGAAGAATGCACCTGTATAAATTGATAATAACTTTGTTACTGACGAGTCACAGTGATGTGATAACATTTAATGTTTACATAAACATGATCCTTCAGGTATCCCACGACGGAGCGGCGTAGCTTAGCGTTTCCAACCTCAGTGCCATTATTTTGCTTACCGATGGGCGCGACACTTGAATTGTGGCCTAATAACGCTGTCACCCCCAAACCAGTATTTTCTACATTCGTTTTGACAGTAGCTGATGCTACAGATAAGGTAAGTAAAACGTTATTTCATTCAAGTATAAAATTATGCTGAATTATATCTTTGATTTTGTGTCTCCCCAAAATGCCATGAGTATTAATACTCATGTAATAACAATACTCATTAAAGATACTAATGTTGTAATTTCTTTTCTTCGAAATTAGATAATATTTCTATTAAAGATAGAATAGTGTTTAGACCCGGATGGAATAAAAAAATCTATTAGCTAATGTTTCCACTTCATTAAATTTAGTGTCCCTACGCATAGCGTGCTCACTATTATGGAATTCCGCTGTTTCAAAAAAGTCAAAAATTAATCATATAGTTTTCTTATATTTCAAACTATAATATAGTATGCTAGACGAAAGCTACGCCTATAGGGGCTCCTAGTTTTTCATTTTCCTTGGTACCTATTTGGCAATCGAAAAGCTAGGTGTACTAAATTTTAAAAATCTTGTTTATGTACTATATTTATTTATTTTGAAGGTGTACGGATCAGCAGTTACTTTCTACGAAAGTTATCCTTACACGCAGCTCTCAGAGTCCCAGATGGAACAACTAGGTTGGAGAGCTGGCGTCTCACAAAACACACATTCAGTGCACATTAACAAATGTGTGTGTTTACTATCGCGATGGCCTTTCAGCGATACGTTCGAACGGTGGCTGCTGTATATATTGGTAAGCAGGAAAAAACTAGTTTTATTCTTCTGTTATTCATTAAATGGTTGAAGTTATCAGTTTTATCATTAATTCATCTGTTTAATTAGAGTAGTCTAGTATTTCTGTATATAAATGTTAATAATAAAAATACACAAATTGAGACCTTATAAATCTTTTGGTTATTCATTGACTTCTTTGTTGCAGGAAATGTCGTGGAGTAAACAACCTTTACCCATACCCGTAGAAAGATATATTACACATTTATTAGAAGAAGTTCCATTCCCTGAACCTAGAATATTATTACAGGTAAAAAATATCTTTTTCGCTCATAGCAAATATAGTATTTTTATGCTAAATATATTTTTCAACACATTTATTTCACAAAAGAGCGGCCTCTTGCTAGGGTGGCTGATTTAGGGCGTGCGCTGCGTTAAGCAGGTAGTGTTTGTTTCATGTTATTTCGCCTCTCTATGTAATGACTGAAACTGCACGCAGTGCGGTTGCCGCTACGTATCCACGCTTAATGCAGCGCAGGCCCTTACATTATTGAAATGGCGATTTATCTATTGTAACGAATGTTTTCGAACAGCTCTCACCAACGAATGCCAGTGATCGGGTAATAGTGACGCGACGAGACGACCAACCTTTAGTACGCAGTGGGGCGGGCTTCAGGCAACTGTTGCTGAATCTGGGACCAGACAACTGCCTGCTGCTACTGGCACTCGCCATCACGGAACAGAAGATTCTAATACATTCGCTGAGGTAGGATCATATGATGGTTATTAAAACGACTGTGTAACTGACTTATGGATCACTGTATGCTTAGATCTTTAAAACTACGCAAAGGATTTTTATGCGGTTTTTTAATAGATAGAGTGATTCAAGAGGAAGGTTTATATGTATAATACATGCATAATATAGTAGAGAAACACTGATAATTTTAGAGGTTTTTAATGTAAGGTCGTAAATAAACACATTTTTTGCGCTTACATAGCAGACGCTGGCTGAACCCTACACGATAGATCAAAATAATATACTACAGTATTGTACACCTTAAAAAGGTCTACAAAAAAATCGGCAATGGTATATGTCTATCTCTTAGGGATAAACCACAATAACCATTTTTATCCTTTACTTATTACGAGAAAATAATAGCTTATTTTAAAAAGCAGTGAACGTTGTATATAAAGACGTTCTGTAGTATGTTTAGTATCAGCATTGTTCCCGTGCAAAGCCGGGGCGGGTCGCCTGTTTACTTATAAAATCAAGAATATTTTATTAAAAACCAAACTTAAGTGCTACGTTTTTACTATCTAACAAGTAAAAAAGTCGAGTTTATGAAGAGTCCTAACTATTATAGCATTTTCAATTTTATTATTATTTTATAATTATTGTTATTTCTGACTTTGCCGGATTAAATGAATTCGCGGAAACTATGCCTCCAGTAAATTTATTTCGTTTCATAAACTGTTTCTTGCTATAAAGAAAATGTCTTCTATTCACAGGCCTGACACACTGACGGCAGTCTCTGAAGCTGTGTCGAGTTTGTTATTCCCTTTTAAATGGCAGTGCCCCTACATACCCTTATGCCCATTAGGTAAGTTGAGTTTTTAATAATTTTAGATTTCTGAGTAAAAATTGTAAGTTCTTTTAATTCAATATCCCCTTTTTATTTGGTTACAGGTTTAGCTGAAGTGTTACACGCGCCATTGCCGTACTTAATAGGCGTTGATTCGAGGTTTTTCGATCTCTACGAACCACCGCCCGATGTGACGTGTGTCGATTTGGACACTAATAATATCACAGTAAGTTTATAAAGATTTGTCGTCGTAATTGGTACTTTATTGATAAGATGCTTACATGAACGTATCAACCTATGTTTGTTATATATATGCTTTAGAGTTAACACTATATAAAATGATACGCTACCTTTCTCGCTGCATACTAATTTGAGTCTTAACAAAGCTAGAATTAAACAATACAATACAACCGTTATTTCAGATATGTGAATTACAACGACATATATCCATAAAATTATTACCTAAAAGACAAGCGAGGATACTCAGACAGACACTGGAGGTCCTCTATGGCAGCATAAGACCTGGTTGGTATGGAGTTTGTTGCTTAATATGGATTCCTTAATAAAATGATTGGTTACCAGAACGTCATTACTAATCGTTATCCAAGCGTTTTTCTTATAAATATAGCGACCATATTCTTCGTTGACATCATTGAGTAAAAGGAGTTTTTACTTTAACACATTATTAACTCTTATCTATTAGACAAGTCCGTCCGTCTGTCTGTGGTGCTGTTTCAGCGGCCAAACCGTAAGAGACAGATAAAGAGAATATTTACCGGATTTGAGTAACGTAGCACTTCCTGTTTTCGAGAAATCAGGTTTTGGTGAACATGGTTCACTGGTTTGCTAGTTATTATTATATGACATAAAGTTCAAAATAAGGATTTTTTTTGTGCATGACTATAATATTTATTATCACAGGATTGTCTTTCACAACTCATTATTGATAAACGCAGTAGGTAACCACTTTGTCTATTGCATCATAAAAAATAACCACCTTGATTTGCTATAAACTTCGATTAAAACAAAAAGGGAAGATACGGTACGCTCATACTAGCACCAAATAAAATATACTTCGACTCAACTACGTAAGCATCTTTCACTCACGCACGCGTTTGTAGTTATCTACATTCAATCGAGCGAGCGAGACAGAACTTTACGCTTCAACGCAGCGCGAGTGAAACGGCGAGACTGCGTCCGAGTCAAAACGGCTGAGCTGTATTTTTGTCCTTGTCTTGATAACAAAATGGCGATTACATAAATAACATTCAAGACGAACCGAGAAAAAAATGTTTATACAGTTTTACGAATGAAAAGTGTTGCCGAGGCATTTGTTATTTGATTTTGAACCATTTGGGTTCTTTATAAAAGCATCGAAGGCGTTGTTTTATCTTTATAACACAGAATATACGCAATACTGATATATTGTGTGCACATGCAGCGTGTTTGAATGCGCACATTAAGCGGACCACTTTTGAGCTGCGAGTGCCGTATCTTTCCTTTTTGTTTTAATCTAAGGCTATAAAACACGAAGTTTTTTTACCTTGGTGATTTTTAATCCGGACAGCAAGAAATTTTTTGGTTTGTTTTTTCAGCATCACCAATTCATCATTCAAATGAAAATAAATTTAACGGTGAACCTACAACGAGTTTAGATAGAGATTTCCAAAGGAGAAAGAAGGAGGTATGTGTCATCTCAATGGTGTTTTAAGAAATAAAGGTGGCCTCATTTTTTAAATATAGGATATATATATATATGTTTAAAATCATGTTAGCGATTTTTTGCACATAGATTCGTCATTAATACAGAGGCCCAAGCACGAACTTTGACAGCTTCGTAATCGTATCATCATCGTCAAGTTTTGTTTGAAGGAGCCAGTTTGTTCTAACGTCCGGTAGAGGCGCTGCTTAGTTTTCATAGAAACTAACTATTCAAATGCATTACGATTACGGAGCTGTCAAAGTTCATGCTTTGGCCTCTGATCTCGATAAGCTCACCTTTTGTACAAACTTTTGTTTTAATAGGATATTTTGTTATTTTTTTTCTTAGCGATTTATGATTACATTTTAGGGAGCTTTCTTTGTTAATGGGCCGATTTCGAATGGGTAGATTCGCCACAAATCTTACTATTCTATTTAATAAAATAGATCAAGAAGTATCTCTTTGTATATTGTGTTCTTAATGTTGCTAATTTTGAACTCTGTACTCTTTGCAGCAAGCATTGGAATTGAAAATACAAGAAGCGTTCTTGAGGTTTATGGCGGTAACGTTACAAGGGTACCGTAGCTACCTAATACCCATTACAAAAGCACCAACGGTTGGAACTACGGATCCACATGCTCTATTCCATATGGACGCTTTCTTGAGATCCAGGGATAAGGTAATTGTACTATTATATAAAAAAAATAACCTCCGCGAAAATAACTTTCAATCGTTGTTATAACCCTTAACACACTCATTTACCTCCACCAGTATTGGTTTCATTTGAAAGCCCACTAAATAAACTTTAAAAAAACAATTCAATGTTTTCTTTTTATTGGAATGGTGCAAAAAACAATAAAGTTTACAAAACTATAAAAAACCTTAATCAAGCCTTAATTAAAAGCAGATTAATTACACAAAAAGGTTTTTAAAACTAACCTAAAACCTAGTGTTGCCCCGCCTTGCCCGGATGGCGGCTTCCATACGCTCCCTCATGGATCTTACCAGTTTTAGGAGCTCTGCTTGAGGGATACTGGCCCATTCCTCAATAATGGCTACTTCGAGCTCCTTCGAGTCGTGGGAGCGGGATAACGAGACCCCACCTTGCGTTTCAAATGTTCCCAGAGGTTCTCTATCGGGTTCAGGTCTGGACTTCTCGCTGGCCACTGCATGACAAAAATCCCAACCTCTTGAAGGTAGTCGAGCACAATTAATGCAATGTGAGCATGAGCGTTATCGTGCATTAATGTAAACCCCGCGCCAACAAAATTGGTATAGGGAACCAAATGCTCTTCCAAGGTCTCTGTGACATACCGGTGAGCAGTCAGCGACCCTTGCCCGCGAGCACCTCCAGTTTGGACACGCTTACAAGGCCAGTTTTGCCGTCGGCCGGCATGCCGCCCCAAAACATACAGGAACCGCCCTCGCATTGCACCGTGTCCTGGATGCAGGCATGGGCGAAACGTTACCTCTGTCTTCTGTACACTCTTCTGCGTTTATACCTCCAAAAAAGGCACGCTCTCGTCTCGTCTCAGAAGAGAACAGATCTTTATTGGTCAAGGGTCCAATTGACGTGGTCGCGTGCAAACTGCAAACAGGCTCGCCGATGCTCTGCGGTCAATTAAGGACCCGTAGCAGCTTTGAGCTGTTATCTTCTTCTCCCTCAGTCTTGGTCCAACCGTAAAAACGCTCACGGTTGTTCTGCGTGCTGCCTGGAGCTGCTGTTGCAACTCAGCAGCATTAGAGAACCCATTTCTGAGAGATGTCGATAGGATGAATCAGTCGTTTCTGTCGTTGTCGTTGATGAGGCAAGAATCGGACTAGATAGGGATCATTTATCGGGCAGAGAAAACCCATAAACCATAAAACAGATATCGAAACTGCCATTTTGTCTTAAGACCATCACGGTCAATATTTTTTGCGATTCAGTCTATGACATATTTAATTAAAATATTTATCCCGCAAGGTGTCAATCAGAAATCAATATATCTTTATTCAAATTTTATGTATAGTACAACTCTTTTGAATCCTCCAAATATATTTTTTCCCTACCACTTGTTATGGACATATTTTTTAGCTGCGGAGAAAAATGAGCGAAAAAAACTCCACAACATTAAAAGTCTAATGTAACAACATTTACAAATCATTATGTTGTTACAACGTCAATACAATTATGATTTATTTAATATAGAAAACCTGTTGGAATGATTGGAACAGTTCAAACCCAAGCATTTTTGTCTGTAATATAATCAGACACTTTGTAATAAGCTTTTTTAATAAGTGCTTTTTTATACTATCTTTAAATTTATTTATGGTTAACTTTTAGATATTGCTTGGGACTTTATTGTGTAAGCGAACACAAAGGTGTTTGTTTCTATATATTGAACTGACAAGTTCAACGCTATCCTCTTGGATATAAAAATCATGTCAGAATTAGACGATACAAACATATTTTACTATCTCATAGGAACTTCAATGCCAATCATAACCTTAAATAATTTTATACAGACTCAACAGCGCTTTTTTGCGCTAATGATGAAGACGCAAATGTTCACGCGTTTCATAGAGGAGCGTTCTTTCGTATGCGACGTAGATCAAGGGCTGACGTTCTTCGACGAGTGTATAGAACGAGTCGCTAGCGGGGACGAGCCGTTACTGGGGCTCGATAACTCTAACACTTCGGAGAGAACGGTGTTTGTGTTACCACCTGACCCGCCCGACCCTCGTGAGTGTTTACTATATTGTGCACCTTGACTTGAGAAACTATTAGAAGTATTTTCAAGTAATGTTCATCTCGTTTTTCAGCCTATGTATTATATATTCTTGCCCATCACTGTTATCTTTGTGTAATTATAAATTCTTGGAATTTCAGTATCACTTAGTTATTTTGTGTTTACAGAAGACTACATTCTAAATACTTTTTGTACTTGTGTCGAATATCAAATTAGTTTGTTTTAACTTTGACTAACAGTCTTCTAAATATTTATATATTTTTTTTGTGTTTTGGTTTAACTTATTTCTGTCTGTCTCAGAGGAAACGTATACGTACGAGACGTTCGAGTTGGACACGGTGCTCGTGGCGAAGTGCCGCAGTAGGACTCGCAGCGGCGCCGTACAGGCTCTGCCCGCGGCGGCGATCGCCTCCGCAGAGTCGCTCGCCGATGCGTCGCCCATGGCGCGCCGCACCAAGCACGAGATCGCGGCCGCGCAGAGGTAACTATACGTACAAGCTCTGCCGCGGCGGTGATCGCCTCCGCAGAGTCGCTCGCCGATGCGTCGCCCATGGCGCGCCGCACCAAGCACGAGATCGCGGCCGCGCAGAGGTAACTATACGTACAAGCTCTGCCGCGGCGGTGATCGCCTCCGCAGAGTCGCTCGCCGATGCGTCGCCCATGGCGCGCCGCACCAAGCACGAGATCGCGGCCGCGCAGAGGTAACTATACGTACAAGCTCTGCCGCGGCGGTGATCGCCTCCGCAGAGTCGCTCGCCGATGCGTCGCCCATGGCGCGCCGCACCAAGCACGAGATCGCGGCCGCGCAGAGGTAACTATACGTACAAGCTCTGCCGCGGCGGTGATCGCCTCCGCAGAGTCGCTCGCCGATGCGTCGCCCATGGCGCGCCGCACCAAGCACGAGATCGCGGCCGCGCAGAGGTAACTATACGTACGTGCTGGGTTCGAGTGGTGGGTCGTGGCCCTTTCTCCCTATGCCATCCTGGCATAGGGAGAAAGGCATGACATACATTGGGAATACCAATGGCTCAGCAGTGGGAACATTAATAGGTTCATCGTGATAAAGAAATTTGTTAAGTTTCCTTTAGATTGGCACGCAAAGCAAGCTTATCCAAATGTATTTTGTTCATTCTTTTTTATCGACACAAGTCCACATAAAATGGGTAACCTTCGTGCTTCGAGAAGTACGCTAAGCTATTAGTTCCGACTGCATGTGCCGTTCCTACCAATCTGCACTAGGCCTGCACGGTGGATTATGACCCATTCTCTCTATGCTATTCATAGGGAAAGCCAATGCCCAAGCAATGGGTATATTAAGGCACTTTGCAGACGACGGGGCGGGGGCCGGTCAATTTCGCCGCGAATAATAGCACAAAGTGAATCCTATACTTCAAACGCACACAGAGGGCAAAAAGACCGCGCCGCAGGTGTCCGGCGGGCAGTGGCGGCGCGGCATGTCCGCGGCTGCCCGCCGTGGATCATACAAACCAGTTTATATGCAGTAACGCAGACGGCGGCGCGGGGCGGTCAGCTCAGTCCACGCCACGCGCTTATTAGTGATGGACTATTCACTAGAACGAACGTCCTAAACTGACCGCCTCTGCCCGTCGTGCGCTTTGTGTACGCGGCGCGGGCAGCCGCAGACATCGACGGGCAGACGCGGTCTTTATTTCTTCGCGGACAAAATGCCCGCCCCGCCCCGTCGTCTGCTCAACGCCTAATTGGTTAATGATGATAAAAGAAATTAATTTCCTTTAGATTGGCGCGCAAAGCAAGCTTATCACCAGAGGCTTGGGCCAAGTGTCTCCTCGGGGCGTGCTACTCTCTGTATTTCTTGTCGCTGCCGTGCCGCATGGTGCTGAGTCGGGGGAAGGAACATGCGACTTTAAGGGCCGCGTACGAATTGTTAGAGAGAGCCACCAAGTTGAGGGTTCCTTGTGACGAGGTGAGTTTAAACCATTTCTTACAGAAACATTGCTGAAACTACTCATGTGTCCGAAAAGTTTGAATACGGTTAGCGTTTTGGTCAAAAGCAGAGTTCATAATTTAAAATAATTCAATAGATTAGTATTACATAAAAATGCAATAAAATATGAAAATATAGATTTACAATATAGATTCTGTTCCATGAAACAAGTCTTAAGTAAGTCCTTTCAAAATTCTCTTCTATTCGACTTTTGAAAATTACCCCTTCGGGTCAAAAAAGCGAAGCTGTCTGTGGGGGTGTTTTCCACATTAAATGATATATGGTAGAATATGATATAAAAATGCTAGAAACTGATAATTGATGATGTTATTACGGAATGATAAAGAAAGAACCGATTGATTGTAATGCTTGTAATGCACTGTTCAATACGTGTTGCGCATACATCATCATGAAGGTAGAAGCCTAAATTAACAAAATAAAATGTAAAGTAAATTACAAAATATGTACGTTTCACCGTACATCTTGCGCCTCTCAAAATCAGAAAGAATTGATAACGAACTAACAAAGATATTTAGAAGAATAGAATAGAAACATAAAATTGTTAAAGGTCATGACTAATATAATCAAAGTTCACTTCACTCAATTTTCACTGCACTAGGAACCTCAAATTTAACAGATCTTGACCCCATAGGCGAGGTTCCTTGATTTACACTTCTAACACTGATAGCACTGACAGAAGCTTTATCTGCTTGCTGCGACGACGGTTTGCGTATAATCACTAAAAATGATAGTCACACTACTACCATTTTAACACTGTTGTGTGTTACCGGGTGATGATGCAACTGTGCGGCATCCACTCACTGCCTGTGCTGGTGGTCCAACTCCTTATGAAGCGAGCCGGCTTGCACCCAACACTCTGACCTACGGTTACTATAACCGTTGCGCATATTTAATAACAAATCGAATAAGTAAATAAGGCGCCAGCTTTACTGGATCGGTGCTGGCTCGTTTCGTTTTCTTTTCTGTGCCGAATCTATACAAAATCTTAACCGAGTGCAAGAAATCAAAAGAGAGCTTCTCATCTTAATCGTTTCGGTACAGATTATTGACCTTAGATTAACATAAAAGGGAAGATACGGTACGCTCATACTAGCTTCAAATAAAATATGCTCCGACTCAACTACATAAGCAACTGTCACACAGGCACACGTCTGTAAATAAACATTCAATCGAGCGAGCGAGACTTAACTGTACGCTTCAACGCAATGCTAGCGAAACGGCGAGTCCGCATCAAAGCCCGCACGGCTGAGCTGTATTGTTGTCCTTTTGTTGATAACAAAATGGCGATTACGTAAATAACATTCAGGACTAACTGTGATTTTTGAGAAAAATATGTTTATCAGTTTTACGAATGAAAAGTGTTGCTGAGGCATTTGTTATTTCAATTTGAACTATTTGTGTTCTTTGTAAAAGCATCGAAGACATTGTTTTATCTTTATAACACCAGAATATACGCAATCTTGTTATATTGAGTGCACATGTAGCGTGTTTGAATTTGAGCCGATCACTTTCGAGTCGCGAGTGTCGTATCCTCCCTTTTTGTTTTAATCTAAGCCGCATATACACCTTTCTGTATGGAGTGGTACCGAACGATTCGACTTGCTAGCCCGAGTGACAGCTCTATAACAAATGACAAACACCATTGAAAACAAAACTGCACGGACACCGAGCCGGTCAAGAAGTAGTTCTCGGTAAAGAATCTGTACAGATTCGGTGACGAAGGAGTCTAAGTCTCTTACTGGTTCATTACATTGATCATTGATATTGACCGTAACTCTGTAGGTATGTTACCGGGTGATGATGCAACTATGCGGCATCCACTCATTGCCGGTGCTGGCGGTCCAACTGTTGTTCCTCATGAAGCGAGCCGGCTTGCAACCCAACGCCCTGACATACGGTTACTATAACCGTTGCGTTTTGGAGGCGACGTGGCCGAAGGACATGCCTAGGTGAGTTGTGTGTCAATGAAGAAAACAATCGAATCAGCCGCAGCATGACATTGTGTCTCTCTTGCACGTTACTTAGGATAGCATGTGCGAGAGGGAAAGAAAGTATTACGGTGACATTTGTGATTTCTTTCTGTAATGACAGGATATACATAGAGAAAGGAATGACCGGTCCCTGTGTAAATATAAAAGAAAAGAAAAACCGGGCAGATACGTGCGAAAGTACGGCCAATAAGCTCGTATATATATGGGCTGCACCATCGCTTTTACTCTTTCTAGAGAGTTGTCAATTTCATGTGTCGTTCAGTTCATTATCTATGTTTTTTCACACGACTGCTTAAAATAAACAGTGTAATGTATTCAGGGTTCATATATGTAAATACATAAAAATAAGCTGGCTGGTTATTTTTATGTATTTACAAATAAAATGTGAATGTATGTATTTATAAAAAAATAAATAGACTTGGGTCCACTCGAATTGAAGCATAAGCGCTACGAAGTTCGCCGGGTCAGCTAGTCTAAGATAGAATTCACTGCAAATCGGCAATATTTGTTTCAGCGGTTCTCAACTATTGTGGAATAAACTGCGGATCGCGGTGATGGGCGCCGCGTTGTTCCGCAAGGCGGGCGCACTGCGGGCGAGTCGGGCCGCCAGTGCGGGACTCACGGTCACTACTGGCAGTGAGTTGTTATAGTTGTACACCTGTTACTGTACATACAGGGTGTAAAAAATCCTTTAACGATGTCGAAGCCCACGTATTTTCCACATCATGACTATATTTTTTTTCTTCTTGACGATACCTGGAAAATTTATGGTTATGGAGATATTGAAGGTCAAAGTCACTATTTTTGTTTCAAGAATTTATGCATTAATATTTGCAAAACGTTATTTAGAAACTTTTTTTATTGACGCACTTACACACACACAGGCACATTCATGGCGTAGAGCCACAGTAGCGCGCCGCGCTATACATTGCGTACTGGAAAAATAAATGTATTTCTTTAACTTAAAAATACAAATGATTCCCACGTATAATATTTGGTATTATTACTTGTTTGGGTGTACAGAATGTGTAGTTTCAGTCTTTGTCATAGGGTTTTTATACCCTTGCTCTGGTGTAGTGGCGCACGTAGGTGTGCCGATCCCAGAGCGCCCTCATAAGGGCCGAGGAGGGTACCGGTGGTTTTTAGTGGGTAGGACCGGCGTTGTTCCGCGCCGGGGAGTCCCACACACGTCGCGCGCCTGGCAAGCGCGCGGTATGGTGCGTAAATGCATTTTCCACCGTCAATTATAGACGCGCAGACGAAGAACTTGTCCGCCGAAATAGATCATTTACAACTGCATCGAGTAACACATCCCACGGATTACAAGTACCGCATACAAAATGACCACTGAACAACCGAGTACAACGGAAGATCAGGATAAAAGTTAGCAGGTCTCCCCGAATAAAAAATTGTGCTAAAGATAAAGCGCGTAAAAGTTATGGAATGGGCTCGTGACGTCACTAATAAGTAAAAATTGTACCAAAACGTGACGTCATGCGACTTTTCAAATATATCTCTTTTTCTTTTCGTTCCTGCCTTGCAGCCGTACACGGAACCGTCAATTTAATGCCTCATTAAATTACGTGTCGTCTCATTCCAATGTTAAAGCAAAGAAAGTGAAAATGGTGTCGATTCTGGCAGGGTTCTCTAAACTTAAATTTTAAGTTTAGGTTTAGAGAATCACGCCAGAATCGACACAAGTATCAACTTTAGTCAAAATAATATATTAATTAACTTCACTACGTGCGATGGTTAATAAACTTTATTATTGTCTTTGTGTAGAGTAAAATATTTAAAACTATTTTTTTTTTTCAAATACTACAGTAAATTAACAGTGTTAGGAGATCTCTTTTTTCCTGTTTAAAAGAAGCAATGTTTACGATATCAACAGGCAGCGGTACTCTCCCCAGAGTGAGATCAGCAGCGGCTGTAGGTGAAGGCGGTGAATTGTCTGCTCTAGCCGGTCTAGCCTCCTGCGAGCCCGCCCAAAGCCGGACCAGCATCGATTCAGGTATAGTTGTAAACAAACAAAAAATAAATTTATTCGAATGACAATTGTGAATAACTGAGATAGTGATTTTATTCAAATTGATGCGTTAAAAACTTTAGCGAAAGAAAAGAAAGAAAGAAGCGGAGAAAAACGCCCAGATACGTACCTGAAACTAGTATAGCGTGTCGTGTGTAGACCGGGTTTTCGCACTCTTATCCTAAGGGTGCGGTGTCTGCCTAATGCTAAGCTAGTATGCAAGTATGCTGGTTGGTTAGGTTTGGTGTTTGCGGTCTGTGTGGAAGGAGTCGGAGGCGCATTGGCGCGGGTGATTCTGTCGCTGGGGTAGGTGCGTGTGGTACTCTAGTATCGCAAGCGTTTATAGACCATAGTAGCTGCTTACTATCAACTGTCCTATGCTTTTTTGCCACCATTTATACACGAAAGATATCGTCACCGTCACTCAATCCCCTAGACAAGACATGAAGTAACAAAGTTTCCGATATATCAAATATAGATTTTAACAGCGTTAATATAGTTGAAAAATATCCTTAATTTGTCGCAGGACGATCGATAGAGGCCCGTTCGAATGCGTTCGAGGCGTTGTTATGCCGACGCGGGAATATAGTGAGAGCGGCGCCCGCCAGGCCGCACGCGCCCGCTATATCCTCCGCTGCGGGGATTCTCATTACAGGTACGTATACTGTGGATACAAGGAGATATTGTATGGGTGATTGATCTAACAGGGACTTTTATGGAATGCCAACCGCCTCATTATTAATACTAGTAGCGCAGGACGATCTATAAAGGCTCGTTCGAATGCGATCGACGCGTTGTTATGCCGAAGCGGGAATATAGTGAGAGCGGCGCCCGCCAGGCCGTACGTACCCGCTATATCCTTCGCTGCGGGGATTCTCATTACAGGTACGTATACTGAGGATACAAGGAAATAAAATGCATCTATTTAAAATTCTAAATGGTAGTATTGACTCAAGTGATTTGTGGAAACGTGTGAAAGTTATTGTGCCACGAAGATTGACCACTCGTAGCAAGAAGTTCAAATTGCAAGTTCCCTTAGTACATACGAATTATCGACAAAACAGTTATCTTGTACGTTCATCTCACTTTTTCTATTCATTAAGTAACAACGCGAACCTGGATATATTTTATGACAGTACTGCGGCGTTGAGGCGAGCACTGGTTACTGAACTATTTACAAATTACTAACCCAAATTTTTTGCATCAGTGGATTCCCCGAGCGGTGCTTTATGAGTTTCTTTCAGAAATTGATAAGCTATATATATCTAAAGAAAAGTTTACTAGAAAAAACCCCGTCCCGTCCGCTGCCTGGTCCGCGTGGATTTTTTTCTAGTAAACTTTTCTTTAGATTTAAACATCTAGCAGTTAAATGCTTAAAAATAAATAAAACATAAGCTATATATAATTTGTATATGTGAAAACTTGTTATTAGCTAGTAGTTAACTACATAAGTTACCATGTGTAAATAATAGTTGTAAGATTTCTGAAGAAATAAAATAAAAATAAAATAACATATTGTATGGGTCATTGATCTAACAGGGAGTTTTATGGGATGCCAACCGCCTCATTACTAATACTAGCGTAGGGCGATCGATGTAGACCCGTTCGAGTGCGTTCGACGCGTTATGCCGACCCAGGAATATAGTGAGAGGCGAGCTCAATTCTGGAAATAGCAAGTGCCTTTAGTGATATTTTAGGAGACGAGCACCTCCCTTCGGGGAGACTCCTATCCGTCGTAGTAACTAGGCCACTCAAGCCTAAGGGGCGTAAGTTCAGCTAGAGAGAGAGGTTATGGTTTTACAGGTTGTTACATTCAAACAAACTTCATGGGAGTTGTAAAGTTAGCAGCGAGTGCTGTTACGCGTAGGTATACAGTCATGTCCACATGACTGTATACCTACGCGTATCCATACTCGAGCGTTTTAATTTGGGGCCCACCTAATGTTGAATGTCGGATAACAAAAAAACTAGAGAGCCACTATTTCAACCACAGAGCAAATACGAAGTGGTAGTGTTGTTTAGGGGTTTGCAACAAACTTAGTGGTGTTTGTAGCGAGTGAAACTAAGTATATGGCATAGCCATAGAGAATGACTTTCGTATGAAATGAAATGACAACTCTCTCTAAAAGAGTGAAAGCGATGGTGTAGCTCATAGACACACGAACTATTGATCACACGATTTCGATGTAACCTTATATTTAGTTTCCTAGTGTTTTTTACATTTGGATAGGGAAAGCTCTATTTAACTTACTATGTACCCCTTACTACATATACATACATACGAATTAAAAAAATATTAGGCGTGAAGGTGCCAAATTTTAAAGTGTATATAAAGTGTAGTGTAATAATTTAATTTACTATTTTATATCAATAGCATTCTAGTTTATGAATGCTTACAAAGTAATCCGTTGCCAATAAATCTAAGCATGGGTCTGAATTGTGAATAATTTTCAGGAATGCCTTCAACTCCCGACTTGACAGAACCAACGAGACCACGTAGCAATTCGTTAGGAAACGAAGATGCGACAAGTGCTCCTCTAACAATTTCTGAAAAACGACAGGTAAAATTACATATAATATGTTTTTGTACATCTTATTTTATTCGCTGAACAATATTACATTAAGTTTTTATATTATCATGTGATGAAATAGTTCTGTGAAATAAAATTATGGTTTACAGTCAATACACGTTAGTCCCGACAGTCCTTCAGATCTAAGGATACTAACGCGTTCAGAAAGCTTCGCTGGCGACGCCCAAATAGTTCAAAACTTACAGAGGCTATCATTTTCTGGGGGTAAGTATAACATTTAAACGTTTAATCACGATAATATTGACGTTCTACACTTCTACAGTAATACTATTCATGGTGTCGTTTCTTTCATGATTCTCTAAACCTAAACTTAAATTTGACAACAGTGTATCCTTTTCATACTTTATACAGAATGAAAAGTAGAGACCGATGTTTAATTTAGTTTTAAGTTTAGAGAATCATGCCAGAATCGATACCAATATCTATCTTACCTCGCCTTATTGAATATTAGAGTTTAATCACTAAAGTGTGAATAAAATAGTACAAATAAGAATAAGATGCATGCTTAATCATATGATATTACCAGTACAATAAGACCGTTGGGGATTTTAATTGGAACATATTTTAAAATTTACAGCAGGGAATTCTAAATCGCGGTGTACACGCGCACTCAGCTTTCCCGAAGAACCAGACAAAGAGGCAGCCGCAACGGAACCGTTTCAAACTTCCAACTTGTCACCTTTGAAGTAAGTGATTATTTTTAACTAGAAATCGCCCGCGACTTCGTTAGCGTTTACTTTGATTTTTTGATAATCCCACAGAAACCAAACATTTTTCCAGGATATAAAGAATCCTATGTCTCAATACAGGTCATATAAACTATATGCGTACCAAACTTTAATCCGAAATCAAAATCCGGTCAGTGGTTTTTGCGTGATTTAGTAACAAACAGACAAACCTACAAACTTTCACATTCATAATATTAGTAGAATAAACGAGGAACACGAGGGTCATGGGATGGGTGACCAAAAATTTATTATCTTCAGCTCCTCCGTGCTTCGGAAGGCACGTCATGCCGGCTGCATCTGTAGTTGTTATCACCCACCAATCCTCACTAGGCTCGCGTAGTGGATCCATAGAGGTATAAGAATAGAGTGGGGAAGGCGGCTCTAAAAGTGTCCGGCTAGTAGAAAGAGAAAGAAGATGAGAGACCGCTAGCTATCTCTCTCTCTTGTGGCGCATGGCATCACATCGAAATAGTAAAATACTTACTGACTGACTGATTAGAGAGAGAAAGTTAGCGTTCTCTCATCTTCTTTTTCTTTCTATAGAGGGACACTTCCACTTTTAGTAGAGTCTATATCTCCCCTACTCTATTCTTATACCTCTATGAGTGGATCACGATGTCCCAATCTCCCTTTCCTATCCATACGAACTGTCTGTGCTATATCAGTGGAGACATTCAGAGGGCGCGCTTCGTTAAGTGGAACACGAAACGGGCGTCCGCTTGGCGTGTTTGTTTTATGTTATTTCGAAGAGTAGCGCTGCGTGAGGCGGGTCTCCCGCTCCGTATTCCGTTTAACGCGGCGCACGCTCTTATAAGCTGATGGTGATGTAGAGACAGAATTACAAGTCCGATATATTTTTCACTATAGGTTATCTCCCCGCATCCCCGTACTATCGTATGACCCCCAGGGTACCTTAAGATCGCCCCCTCCTTCACCCACGCCGACACCTGTAGAGGAACAGGAAACCTCCGCCCCCCCCACGAATTAAGCGTCAGCCTGTTTGATTTTGAACTGTTTGATAAGTAGTATTGTATTGAGTCAACACAGTGAAGGACACTTGATTTCGCAAGTGGTTAGCGCGTTCGGTCTGCGATCATGAAAGTTAAGCAAATTTCGCAATGGCCGCACATCAGATGGGTTATGGCGGCCGCGATGATGATGTGGAGAAATGAAATTGCAAGTCGATATATTTTTCTTTATAGGCTATCTCCCCGCACCCTCTTACTATCGGATGACTTCCATTTCGATTAAAATAACAACTGTTTTTCTTAGAAAACCCTTTGCTGGAGGTTGTTTATTAAAACTGATTGTAAATTTGTATTGTGTCAAGATTAGGTATAAGATGAAAAATACTTTTACTATGGTGTCGATTCTGGCATGATTCTCAAAACTTAAAGTTAAATTTGACAACAGTGTATCTCTGTCATTCTCTATACAGCATAAAAAGGACAGCCTGATGTTAAATTTAGTTTTAAGTTTAGAGAATCCTGCCAGAATCGGCACCTATATTTTATTTATTAGGTTATTATTTGCTATAGGTTATCTCCCCGCACCCCCGTACTATCGGACGACCCCCTGGGTGCCTTGAGCTCACCCCCTCCTTCACCCCCGCCGGCGCCTGTGGAGGAACAAGAAACCGCCGCCCCACGCCACGAGTTCAGCGTCAGCCCAAAACTGTTTCATCGCAGAAGTAACTCGTTCCAAGACGACCCGCAAGAAGAACAACAAGGGTAACCACTAGCCAGTACCGTTTACCACAAATTAGAAATTTGCAGAAGGTGCGGCTTTCCTTAATAATACCCCTGATTATGGCATGACTTTCAAATCTTAATATTAATTAGAGAACAGTCTCTTCTTTCTATTTTTTATCTATAGAGAGCATGAAAAGGATATATTGCTCTCAAATTTAGTTTAAGATTTACAGAGTGGTGTCTAAATCAGTCACATTTTGTTATGTTTTATTTTTATATATATATTGTAGTACGTACACAAAATGAAGTAATAACTTTGGTTATAGCTGGTGTAGACAAATCATGATTTTTAAGAAAATATGTTGGTCTCAAGTCATATTTTGCATCATGACAAATAGTATCATTTAGTACGGACCTTCTGTACTTTTCTATTTTGCCTTTCGCTTATCCCGCATGCTTTCTTTGGTTGCGTGAGCTTTGCTAAATTGGGTGTTGGTTCTGTGTCGGAACATTTTTATTGGTTTTGAGACGATTTTTACGCTTTCTTTTAAGTAGAATGACTTCTTATTTTTTTTTGTTCTGTAGTTTTGCAGAGATAGAAGAATATAATCCAAATTATTGTTCACCCAACCCACCAATCCTGTAAATAAAATATTACGTAATTTTACTTTGAAATGACATAAAAGAACCACAAAATTTACATGAAAATCTTACCCTTTTCCCATCCTCATAGCCTCAATTCAGTATAGCTAGTGCTGCCCCCTAGTGAAACAAGATAACCTCGATAGTTTCCTCGTTTGTAGGAAACTGCATAGGAGTGAGACGGCACCCGGCGGTACTGTATCATCGAGTCTCGCTAGTCTCGGTAACACGTTGAAGATAAGCTTTGGGTGAGTAAAAACGGTGAAATATTAATCAGTTGTATAAACTTCGAGTTTAATAGAAATACAGTAGAATCTCGTTTATTTGGCACTATTGGGATCAGTGGGTGCCGAATTATTGGAATTAACTTCATTATAAATAAAATAAAGCGTTTCATTAAGGTAATACACATTATTTTGGACATGTAGGTCTATTGAATAGATAGTGCCGGATAAGTGAGATACTACTATATAAGTGGAAGCCTAAGTGCTTTGTGAAATAAAACCATGCATGTTTTAGCTTTTTAACAAAGATAGTTTTTTTTATCGCTCTTTACTGGTATCTTTTTACCAATACGTGAGGTATTCATTTATGCATAATTTAATTAGCAACATTAATGTTCAATGTGATGCCATATCGCGCATTCGTGCATACTAGCAGTGTTTTTATATATAACATTGTATATAAATTTTCTTTTACCGGATGCACGGTTATCATGATTTTTATATGAATAATAGGATCTAAAATGTCGAGATTTGCACATTTCATATTATGTTTACATAATACGTTTTATTTTTAAATCTTAAAAGGACAAGATATATCATGAAACGTAACATAAAATTTCTGAATCGTTAGTTCTGTAAGTAAGTACTTATGTTATTAAATAAAAAAAACGCATTTTAGATGTCTCATAAAAAATCGCTATTTTAGACCCTAAGATGCTGATGGTTGGTACTTTTTCCAGGATAAACTATAAACTAACGAAAACGACCGCAAACGTCGTTTTTTTATCCAAAAGTTACAGACCAGAGGCCCAAGCGTAAACTTTGACAGATCCGTAATCGTATCGCATCGTCAAAGTTTCTAAGCAGCGCCCTCTACTAAATGTAAGAACATACAGGCTCCTTCGTACAGAATTTGATAATGATACGATTACGGAGCTGGCATAGTTTGATCTTGGGCCTCAGGCAATGCCTTCATAGATCGTATTACGGTAGTTGTTGCTAAACATATTTTATTCTTACATTTTTTTTTTTAGGCTTTTAACTGCTAGATGTATAAATCTAAATATTTTATTCTTTTGATCTTCGTGCATTCTCTTGTCATGTGTTTGCACTGTTGTCGTTAATAATCACCTTTTAATCGTGTTTTTATTTTTTGCACCACATTATTCGCTAGCTTGTTTGTTTTCTTAGACGTTATTCACCCGCCAGGCTGTCGTTGCGTAAGGAAAACATGAAAATAAGCAAAGCCGTCATCGAAAGTTATTTTAGGTAAGCATCGACAATAGGAGTATGTGAATACAGATTATTACCTATTTTGATTTTTTTTTCTATGATTTGATTGGTAGCTAAACATTTTTATCTTATATATATAACGAGTTTATCGTTTGCGTTTGGATAAAACTTACAACAGTTTTTTTTAAGTAAGACCAATGTTTATTTTTTATTCTCGAGTATCTACTCGATTTATATCATCTAATAACTTTGACTATTGTGTTCTTTATTACCATTGTGAAGGGTGAATCCCTTTTGCATTGGCCCATATAAACTCAATTCTCTCCCTGTGTATTTTAGTTTTTTTTTTAATTACATTCTTCTTTACAACTTTAGCAGAAAATTTGGGTTTGAAAAATATTATAATACATATCTTTGTGTCAGGTTTAATAAATACAGGATAGTAGTTCACACATTACACCTAAATTTAGTTTTTCGATATGATAATTTTCATTACCTGATTGATTTTGCATGAATTTAGCCTTATCAGTTGTTTATGTTAAAGTAACTATAAGTAATTAATATGAACGATTTTTACAGTTTTACCACCTGTTGTATATATAAGACGCAGTGCATTATACATCCCTACCTGATTGAAAAAAAAACGAGTGTGCTTATGACCACACGACTGAAGTGAAACTTCTTTAGCTCCATCTTTATGTATATACATGTGTGTACAATATATTCATGTATGTACAAGAGAAAGAGAGAAAGAAAATGTGCGCGCGCACTGCTTTCTCTTGCTCACTCAACTCCCGTTCGCCCGAACACACTTTTCGTAACGCGTAACGCATTCGCCAGCTTACCTCCCAAGTCAAACGTGCGTCAAGAAGTTTCACTTCAAAAATTGAACATGTAACATTTATGTTAATTTGCAATATATTAATATCACTTCTTTTGCAGTCCAACCAGTATAGCGGGTAAAAAATCGAACGAGCTTCTTCAAAGTGGTTTGAGCAGTCTAAAATCAGCAGCAACTAGTATGGCGAAGAAATTCGACGAAATGAAAGAAGTTATATCGGCGAATTCGACGCCCGTCAAAGGCGCTATAGGCAATGCCACGAGCGCTCTGAGCAGTTTCATAACAGAAGAAGACTCCACCGATGGATCATCGGAGATTAACCCAGACGGTAACTGCACGATACACTTTAGTATTGCACAATTATAATGATAGTTCATCCGCATTTTTCTCTTACTAGAGGTGCCCTGCGGTTTCACTCGTACTAATTCGAGGGAAAAGGTTATAGTGGACCCGTAAAAGATAGACATATTCTATGGCGGAGATTTTTATAGCACTTTTTAAGAGTAGCCGCACACGGGCCACCGACCATAAACACAAAACGCCGCCACTAATGCGCCGATACAAAACGCCGCCACTAATGCGCCGATACAAAACGCCGCCACACGCCACTCGAGCGATTCCCCACCTTTAAACTTTCTTCGTCAGAGGCCAATATGATATTGCACGCATGTGTGCCAATATGATATTGCACGGATTTTATCCGTGCGGTGACGGAGAAAGAATACAACTCACCGCCCCTTTTCTTCCCGTGGGTGTCGTAAGAAGCGACTAAGGGATATCAGAGCTTCCATCCGCTCTCCTGGTGGTAGGGTGCCTAACACCCGCCTGGTTTGTTACCACCGTGCGCATGGTGAAAAACCCGTGAAGTGCTTCTCGCGCGTTTCGGGGTCAGCCAGCGTACAACCAGAGCTCGAGTGGAAGTTGTCGCGAAGGATTCGGTCCAGGGGAGGCATCCGTGGAACCGATGCCGGGAGGACTGCATCGACCCGTCGGCCAGGGAGACCCGTAGAAACGGCTGTCCCGCTGGCCGCCCGTGGCACAGTACAGGGGCCCAAGCGTTCCTAACCAGTTCGCGAGGCTGCCCCATCATGTCACGCATAATCTCGGGGTGGACCGTCGTGCCGGTTGGTGACCGGGGCGTGGGGTCCCGGCGGCCACTCCCGGGGGGGGTGCGGGGGCCCTTCCGTCCGGCGGATCGGTGCATCTCCACTGCAGGCAGTCAATCGGGAAGACAAACCCCCCTTATTTGCCCGGACTCTTTGCGACGGCGTCCGCTCGTTTTCGCGTCTCTTTTTTTTTCACTTCCACCATGGCAGCCTCAATAACAAAGTTTGGACGTACAGCGGTGCACACCCCCACGCCTTCAACGCTGTTTGAGGTCGAGTTCTGCAACATACGCGGACTCCACTCTAACCTCAACGCTGTCCACCACCATCTCGAGACAGCACGGCCAGCATTGTTGTTCCTGACGGAGACACAAATACTTCCGCCTGCTGACACAGGCTACCTTAATTATCCCGGCTACGTGCTTGAAGAGTCCTTCAAAGCGAAAGCCGGTGTATGCCTGTATGTTCGGGCGGATGTTTGTTGTCGCCGTCTCCGCTGCTTGGAAGATCCCTCCTTCTCCATGCTGGGGGTACACGTCGACTCTGGCCCTCGGGCCAGAGTCTACGTGTGCCTCTACAGATCCCACACCGGCGATGTTGAGACAACTCGACTTTTTGAACACCTTAGTCGGGCAGCAGATGACGCGCAGGAGCGATTTCCCAATGCAGAATTGGTGTTTTTGGGGGACTTTAATGCTCACCACAATTTGTGGTTAAGTTCTTCCAAAACTGACCATGCAGGGATCTCTGCTCACACATTCGCTCTCACGCATGACTTGAAGCAACTGGTTGATCAGCCCACCAGGATCCCAGATATTCCAAGTCAAGCGCCTTCTTTACTGGACCTTCTGCTCACGACCCATCCACAGGGCTATCAGGTTGTGGTAAGAGCCCCCCTGGGCTCGTCCGACCACTGCCTGATATCTGCCAAAGCACCACAGGCCAAGCCTCCGCGTCCAGCAGTGGTCAAGCGCCGTATCTGGCATTATGGGTCGGCAGATTGGGACGGTATGCGTGATTACTTTGCGTCCGTCCCTTGGAAGCAGCGCTGCTTCAGTGACAGGGACCTATCGGGCAGTGCCGTTGCCATTACTGAGGAGATCATAATGGGTATGGAATACTATATTCCTCATTCTGATCTCATCAGTAAGGGCACACGTAACCTCTGGTTCAATCACGACTGTGCTGAAGCTGCTTCGCGTAAGCAAGCGGCATATCGTGCTTGGATCAGAGGCCGCGCTCTCAAGGATCCCGGGGTCGATTCACTCAAAGCAGCCTACAATTCTGCTTCCAAGGCCTGTAAGAAGGCTTACATCAGAGCGGATGCCCAGCGTGTTGCACGTGTTGGCCAGGAACTTATAACGCATCCTGCGGGCTCCCGTAGCTACTGGCGTTTGGCCAAGGCCGTGCAAAAAAACTTCTGCCAGCCCTCGCTGCCACCTCTGAGATGCCCAGACGGAACACTAGCTCATAAGCCGCAGGAGAAAGCCGATTTACTGGCAAAACTCTTTGCGGCTAACTCCCGAATCGATGATTGCAATGCACTGCCACCATCATTACCTCACTGTGGCACAACGATGCCTGATATTAAAATCAGGCAGCGTGAGGTTCGTGCCGAGTTGCAATCACTCGACGTCCGGAAAGCTAGTGGACCTGATGGCATCCCAGCAGTAGTACTTAAAAAATGTGCAGCGGAGTTGTCTCCCGTGCTCACGCGCTTGTACCAATGCTCGTATTCTTTGGGGCGTGTGCCGGAGACTTGGAGAGATGCTAACGTGCAACCGGTGCCCAAAAAAGGGGATCGCTCAGACCCGGCAAACTATCGGCCAATAGCAGTCACCTCAGTTTTATGTAAAGTTCTAGAAAAGGTCCTTAATAACCATCTGACCCGCTACCTAGAGGATCACTCCCTGATTAATGATCGTCAATATGGATTTAGACCGAAACGATCGACGGGTGATCTTCTAGCGTACTTAACTCATATCTGGGGTGAGGCTATCGACAAGCGTGGCGAGTCGTTGGCTATCAGCCTTGACATTGCCAAGGCGTTCGACAGGGTCTGGCACAAAAGCCTTCTCTCCAAGCTTCCGGCATACGGTCTGCCAGCCCAGTTCTGTTCTTGGGTAGCTGACTTCCTGCATGAGCGTAGAATTCGTGTCCTTACGGATGGTAGCAGTTCGCGGTTCATGTCAGTGAATGCCGGCGTTCCCCAGGGCTCCGTCCTATCCCCCACTCTCTTTCTGCTGCATATCAATGACTTGATTCCTCTTGGGAATATTCATTGCTATGCGGATGATAGTACAGTGCATGCGGGGTATCTCGGACAAGCAGCGGCTGGGCAGGCAGTAACCAGGGAGAAACGGGAAAATCTTGTCATTGAACTCAATCAGGCTTTGGACCACATTTCCGAATGGGGTACCAGGAACTTGGTTGGGTTCAATGCCAAGAAAACTCAGGCTTGCGCTTTCACGGCAAAAACATCGCCATTCCTTCCCCTTCCATCTCTTCAGGGCACAACACTACCGCTGCAGAGTAACATTTCCATGCTCGGTATGGAAGTTCGCTCAGACCTGAATCCAAAGGACTACATCGAAACCGTGATCAAAACAGCTTCACGCAAACTCGGAGTCCTGAACAAGGTGCGGCGTTTTTTCACGCCCGATCAACTGTGCTTGTTGTACAAAACGCAAGTGCGGTCCTGCGTGGAATATTGCTCGCACCTCTGGGATGGCTCCGCCAAGTACTTGCTCGATGCTTTGGATAGGTTACAGCGGCGCGCGATCCGCATCATAGGCGATGAGGAGGTGACTAAACACCTTGAGCCTCTTCAATTACGCCGTGACGTGGCGTCACTAAGCGCGTTCTATCGTTTGTACCACGGCGAGTGTTCTGAGGAGTTATTCTCTCTTATCCCACCTTCCCCTTTCCTTCAGAGGACCACGCGCGCTGGCCTACGTTGTCACCGTCTTACTGTGGCCACAATTCCAACGCGTACAAAGAAATTTGGTGACTCATTTCTTTGTCGCACTATCCGTAAATGGAATGCTCTGCCCGCTCACGTGTTCCCTCCCTCTTACAACCTGGGATCCTTTAAAAGAGGCGTGAAGAAGCAACATGCAGGCCGGCAGGGTGAGGATGGCTGGTGTGGCAGGTAGAACTGCTGTATCAGCTATCTTCGCGTCTGGACTTCACCTTCACTTAACATCAGGTGGGGTGGAGTCATTTGTCGGACCTAACTATAAAAGTAGCAGCCACCGACGGCAAGTATCGACCACCTATCGCGCAATTCAGCTACCTTTGTAGCCGCTTCTAGCTTCTCGTGGCGGCGTTTGTGGCTGTCGCTGTGGCCCGTGTGCGGCGACCCTAAGGGAAATAATTCAGTCATACGTGATTTTTGTGTAATTTTTACGTATAAAGTTAAGGAAGTTGCCAGATTTCATAGTATGTTGGCGAACTTTGATACCTACATCAAAAAAATGTAACAATCTTTTACTTTTATTACTGACTTTGATCGTTCTAGTTTCAATAAACAATTTTGTATTATATTTTGTAAGACATCACGTCTTTAATATTTTGTCGTTAGGGCTTTTTGTCTATTTACAAGTTATCACGATTGATAACGATTTATTTTCATATTAAATGTGTACTTTTCTACATTGCTATAAGTTTCTTAGAACGCCATAACAATAAAACCCTGGCAACTGGCCAGTGACATATTGCGTTACTCATCTAATATCACTTACCCTGTGACACAAACACAACCACAAATATCACAAGGTGTTTAAATTTGGTACAGTGCGAGTAAGCTCTTGTGGCACTTAGATGACATTGACGGGAATATCGGGGCGCTGCTGGTGAATAAGTGGTGAATTGAGGATTGAGAGCCCTTTCACATTTTTTGCAAAAAATAGTAATTTTTGAGCGCCTTGTTTACCCCCTTAGAAAAGATGTGTTGACTATTGGGATCTGACATGGAGGCGTGGCCTATTCAATATGGCGCCGACGGGGGTGCATTTGCCTAGTCAAACCGTGATGAAATACCGTAAAATAGTTAAATATCAATATTAGTGGTAGATAATGATAGTCTTAACAATTAATGATATTTGTGAATGGTCCGGTTCAACGCCCAGTAATCGCAATTTTCGAGAGGGTGAACGACTGGTAGCTGCGAAACATTTATTGAATTGTGGTATACACAAACATTTATTGAATTGTGGTAACTAAACCAAGGAAACTCTTTCATTTTAATGTTGTTGCCGTCCCATTCTTTTCTTAGTGGAATAATAATGAGATCTTGTAAAATGCTACTTCACACATGCTTAACCTCAAAAAACGAATTTGACTCACCTGGTAATATATAGTCGTCTTTCAGAAAATGCAATGAACACACTTTCATGTGAGGATTTATTTTACAGTCAATCTTCAAAGCGTTCTTCCATGCTGTGAATTGGTCCACTTTTTCCATTTGACCAAAATAATTTTTGATGTAAACACAACGCGCATTTTTTTTAGGAAACTTATGAAACGTTAATTCACGGTTTTTTTGAAAACTGCTTCCACATCCATACACACAACACTTTATTCTTTTTTTAGAAATCTTGCGAGGGTTAAATATTCCTAATTCTTCCGTCATTTTTTGTTTAATTTCTCAAAAGTACTAATGACACTAATGATAACTTATGTGTTTTGATGAGCGATGCACCCCGGTATTAGTTCCAAAATTGAACACCAGGTGTCTCACGAATTTTGTCAGATCCCAATATCCAATAGAAGTAAACATTTGTTATTCCTATTATAAGTTAATGTAGAATATTTGAAAATACTATTTTCCTTTTTTTGTACTGATCGTTCTACTACAGCTAAATTACGGAAAAAACGATAATATGCACAACTTCAAACGCCTAAATCTCTCAATAATGGTCAATAAATTAGATCAAATTTATTAATTAATTACTTATTAATTACTACAACCGACGATCAGAAATATGTTTCTGTTGTAACATAATGTATTAGAATTTTCATTTTCCATCTCATTAATTATCAAAAAAAAACATCTAACCTCCGTGAGTTTTCCCAAAAAATAATGCAGGTTTACCTCGTACTTTGATATTGAATTAAATAGAATTACTATCAAAAACTTTCATAAAACTAATCTACCATCATTGAACTATTGATATATTTATATATTTTTAGAATTGGTTCATTAATAATTATTTTATAAGACTCGAAATATCACCCGTAAAATGCAATGTATACTATTGCAAATCTACGTACGCGCCGATCAGTACGGCAGCGGCGCAATTTTGTAAAAGGGCTCATAAAGAGTACGTAAAATCTCCACTAAAAGGAATGTTAGGATTTACAAAAAAAACGGTGTGCTTATGACCACACGACTGAAGTGAACCTTTTTTAGCTCCATCTGTATGTGTATATATCTATGTATGTGTGTACAATAAATAATGTATGTACATATGCATATTTCTTTTACTAGCTATAAGAGAAGAGAGAAATAAAATGTGCGCGCGCACTGCTTTCCCTTGCTCAACACTCAACTCCCGTTCGCTTCGCCCGAACACACTTTTTCACTTTAATTACTCTGAAAGAGTAATGGAAAATATAAAAAACATTTTTTACACCTTCCTATAAAAATAAAAGTCATATATACCTTTCTAAAATAAATTCCGATTTCGGCCACACGCCACAAGAACTTGGTCACACTGCTGTAGTGCTGCTTGATCGCGGGTGTATGGAAGTTGCGTGTGAAACACAACTCGTGCTAACGACGACATGGTATGAAGTTAAATCCCAACCCAATGTAATAAAGTAACTTAAGAAAGCAAATTATAACTTTGTTAGGAGCACCGTTAAAGATCGGCTCACACGAGCAATGATTCTTTAATTTGCAACTTATTCCATTATCAACCTTATATCTTTAATATACCAGCAACCTATTGGAAGGGACTGAATTCCTAAACAAACGCTATGTTCATAGCCTATCTAGAGTCAGTAGTGTTTTTCATTATATGACTACTGCCTTAGATGTAAAAAAAAAGAAATTCCAGTACTTTTGTCATATTTATTATCAGGACCGGATTGGTCCGGACCGGACCAGTGGCTCAGGAGCCTTGAAAATTCCAGGCAGAATGAAAATTTTAAATTCATAACAGAGTTGAAAACTAAATAATTCAACTTCGACGGGTGCAAATCGAAAATGGCCCGGGCTGCGAGATTTTAAAATATTGGCCCCAACTCCGTCGTTGTCCCAGTGCCTCCAAACCACTAAATCCGGCCTTGATTAATATTATTATTATATTTAACAGAGTGGGTGGGAGGTATGGGTTTCCGACGCGCCTCCAGCGACGCTGAGTTAGCATGTTCTATGGAGCGCGGCTCGCTCGCGACACTGTTGTCGCATCTGCCTGATAACCTCTATCCAACGTCCAACGTAAGTATACAATCAATTGAAATTGGTTAACCGTGATAGTTATGGTTATTTTGAGTACTCGAGTTTTTCTGTGTTGTATCTAATAGAAAACTGAGATTTTATGATTCGAAACAATACTAGACGGTTCCAAAGTCCCAAACACGAATTTTGACAGCTCCGTAATCGTATCGGCTGTCTCAAAATTTGTATGGAAGGAGCCAGTTTGTTCTTACGTACAATAGGAGCGTTGTTTTGTTTTCATAGAAACTTTGACAATGTGATACGATTACGGTGCTGTCAAAATTCTTGCTTGGGCCTCGGACCCGTTTTCAAGGTGTCGTTAACTTAGACGCCACCTTGTAAACCGGTATATACACCACTCCACTACGGAGGTTGTCGGTTTAATGTTGTTCCTATATAAGTAAGTCTTACCGTGTTCTTCTTTCACTTGTAATGTTACTGACAAACGTTTTCCGTTCCTTTGTTTAGTTTGGGACTAAACGGACTTATGTGCTATTTTTATATTTTACCTTTAGGAAACCCCACGGGCTGGCACACCAGTGGTCACAGTGCAGATATCGTCCTGCTCGCAATGCCACCAATGCTTCGCGCTTCTTTACGACGAGGACATAATGGCGGGGTGGGCTGCCGACGATTCAAACCTGAACACTCGCTGCACCGCGTGCGGCCGACACACCGTGCCGCTGCTGTCTGTACAGGTCATTATACGTCAGCATCATGGAGCAAAGCGGCAGATTATACTCTGTTCTTGTTACTCACAATGCCTCGCTTCTATATGACGAGGACATAATGGCGGGGTGGGCTGCCGACGATTCACACCTGAATACTCGCTGCACCGCGTGCGGCCGACACACCGTGCCGCTGCTGTCTGTACAGGTCATTATACGTCATCGTCATCGAGCAAAGCAGCAGATTATACTCTTGTTCTTGTTACTTGCAATGCCTCGCTTCGATGCGACGAGGACATAACGGCGGGGTGGGCTGCCGACGATTCAAACCTGTACACTCGCTGCACCGCGTGCGGCCGACACACCGTGCCGCTGCTGTCTGTACAGATCATTATACGTCATCATCATCGAGCAAAGCAGCAGATTATACTCTTGTTCTTGTTACTCGCAATGCCTCGCTTCTATACGACGAGGACATAATGGCGGGATCGGCTGCCGACGATTCAAACCTTAACACTCGTTGCACCGCGTGCGACCAACACCGTGCCGCTGCTGTCTGTACAGGTCATTATACGTCATCATCATCGAGAAAAGCGAAGCGGCAGATTATACTCTGTTCTTGTTGCTCACAATGCCTCGCTTCTATACGACGAGGACATAATGGCGGGGTGGGCTGCCGACGATTCAAACCTGAACACTCGCTGCACCGCGTGCGGCCGACACACCGTGCCGCTGCTGTCTGTACAGGTCATTATACGTCAGCATCATGGAGCAAAGCGGCAGATTATACTCTGTTCTTGTTACTCACAATGCGTCGCTTTTATACGACGAGGATATAACGGCGGGGTGGGCCGCCGCCGATTCTAAACTGAAATCATCACCATCAGCTTATTAATGTCCTCACTGAAGGACACACGCCTTCTCTTTGGATGGAATAGGGAGACTGGGCCGTGACCCACCACGCTGGCCCAGTGCGGATTGGTGGGTGCTAATGACTTCAGATGCAACCGGTACAAACGGCTTAACGTGCATTCCGAAGCACGGAGGAGCTGAAGTTTTTATTCACCCATTTACTGACCGACTATTGCTAAGTTGCTTAACTTCCACGATCGCAAACCGAATGTGCTAACCATTTGCACCATCGAGCTACTCATAATATAATCTTTATATCAGCCGTTCGATCACTGCTGTACATAGGCCTCCCTAAGGATTTTGACATCGAACAGTCCTGCGCTATTCGCATCAACAAAAACCCGACAGGCAACATTTCGTTCGAAGTTCACCGTACTGTACCGTGTCAGCATCGTGTGCCTATATATAGATACGGCATGGCTGACTTTCTTGCCGTATTTATTTTAGCTCGTGTTTTGCACGCTGTTTTACCACACCCTAACGGCTAACGAGAAGGAGTTTTATGAAAAAACCTTATAATCTCTTACATTTCAGTTTTTATCGAAGGCTGTAATTATCTCGACATCAAACTAGTAGTAGTATATCATGTCGGCAGGTAATAGATCGCTCTCAACTCTGAGATCAAGATCTTTCTCTGAGAAAACAGCATCTCAAGATCGTCTTATCGCATCTTTCAGAGTTGAGACTGATATATTAATACGGGCCTAAGTTACATTACAACATTGCCTATACTACAACTCCTATAAATAAAATCGTACTTTTCCCTTTTCAGATAATTCGTCTCAACCAAACGCAAGCGGAAATATTAAGCGTGCCTTATTTAAATCCTCTAGTTCTAAGAAAAGAATTCGAATCTATATTGGGTAAGTAACAATATATTTTAATAAACACGTTACAAAAGAAGTTCGCGCATCCTATTCCTATCCAAATTGTCATATCCATGCCGACAAAAGCTTCAAACTAAATAAAGAGAAATATGGATACAAATAAGATGTCAGTAAAAATACATTGTTCAGCTATGACCTGCAGTTGTAATTAACTGCGTTAATCATCTCCTTCCTACAACGCAACGCCCAAAAACACTACTTTTCTATTTCATGATTTTTAGTAACATTATCAACTACTTCTTTTTGTCAGAAAAGTGAAACCGCTTTAAATATTCATGTTAAATAGACATGCCAAAATTGGTACTTTATGTTACATACCTATTAGACTCAAATTTATCATTATAAATGTTCTTACAATAAAGAAGTTATTTATCTTCAGGTAGAGAAGGAGATGCTTGTTTAGCGGAGCCGGAGTTTGTGGAATCCCATCCCATTGTCTACTGGAATCTCGTTTGGTTCCTAGAGAGAGCGAACATAGAGAACCATTTACCGGATCTCCTGTGTCCCGACTTCCAGACACGGTATCAGAGCACGGATGCGTTGCACGAAGCTCATAAAGTTGGTAAGTGAACTTTAGCAGACTATTATAGTCATCATCAGAAGACTAGACTAGAAAAAGAGAAGACTTTTAATCAGTCATTTGCGTTAGTCGATGCAATTATAAGCGATCTTTTTTGGCGGACGACAAAAAATACCGCGTACAGAAGTCCCTCTTCTGCGCAGGCTATAATAGGATCTAATCTAAATATTTCATCACAGGTTGCCGCGTAATATGCAGCTGGGATCTAGTCCGCTTGCACTCGGAAGCGGGCGTGGCTCTGCACCGAGCTTGGCGCGAGCGGCGAGCGGAGCACCAGCGCTCGCGAGCGGTGCGAGCGTTACTGCTCACCGAGCACGACCGCTCCGCTACGCATTCGTGAGTGGAACAATAATCTTGTGTTTAGCAGATACATATTATATTAGATATTCTTCATCATCATCATCATCATCAGCCTATTAATGTCCTCACTGATGGTGCACAGCAACGTTGCCAGACGTCCCGATTTAAATCAAAATTTAATGTCCCGCGCGGGATAGGCCCAATCCCGCTTTTCGGGAATAACTCGACCGTGCGTTCAGCGTACTGAGAAAGCGCGGGCGGCTGGCACAGACAAGTGTGGAATGGCCGCCTTCCTGGCGCGTAATAAAGATAAATATTCAATAACTTTTGATTATATACGTTTTTTTACTATGTCCCGCTTTTTTCACTCAAAAAGTTCCTAAATCCCGACTTGGCAATAAAAAATTCTGGCAACGCTGGGCACAGGCCTTTACTAGGGATGATATTACAGACGGGGTGGAGAAATAAGAGGGTTCAAAGTAAGGTGACAAATATATAAATTATAATATAATGAAAAATTTATAAAATACAGCAAGACGATAGCAAATCAGGAACAGAAGAGCAACAGAGTGAAATAGATATCAATAATATGACATATAAAAACATAGACATATTTAAGAGTATGGCCTGATAGCCAGCTCCTAACAGATGGAATAGGGTGAGATGGCATGACCCCCCACGCCGGCTCAGTGCCGATTGGTGCTAACGACTGCTATTGCAGCCGGGGACCAACGGCGTAACGTGCCTTCCGAAGCACGAAGGAGCTCGAGATAGTAAATATTTGGTCACCTATCCAATGACTGACCACTGCGAAAGTTGCATAACAGCCGAACGCGCTAACCACTTGCGCAATCGAGCTCCTCGACTGCATTATACATGATTATGTTAAATATACCTGCCGATATGAATTGAACCTTTTTATTAAATTAAATCTTAATAATGATATAAAGAGGAAAGATTGTATTGGTTGTTTGTAGTGAATAGGCTCTGAAACTATTGGACCGATTGAAAAAATCTTTCACATTTAGAATCCTACATTATCCCTGATGAACATAGGCTATAGAGTATTTTCAATAACATGGGAAATATATAATGTAACAACGTGGGAAAAATATACCAAAACATAACCTTTTGTCGCAAACGCTCCAGAAGTCATTGACAACAGAGCAAAGTGATGCACTAAAGTTTTATAGAGGACATAAATATCTACAAAAAAGTCCGTAATACCATATGTCTAACTATTACAGTTTTGTCGTCACAAGAGAGGAAAAAGGTTATAGTGAGTCAAACTTAAGACATGCTGCCGCGGACTTTTTTAAGGGAAATAATTCGTATATATACATATATGATTTTAGTGTTAAATTTCCAACGGCCTCTGATAAAACACTTAAGACCATTTAGAGACATCAAAAGTTAATGTAATTTAAAGTCTTAATTTTATCTTACTGTCTTGTTGTCATAAAAAAGTGACAGCACTAGCTTTAATTAAACTTAAAAAGAAAAGTGATACTTTAGTCGAACTTAAAAGTTCACTGACTTCTTTGAATGTGGCCATTACTCTTTAAAATAAACTACACGTTTTCTTTCCACAGTGTGATATTAGCGATCCTGGACGGCCTGCTGAGCAATGATCTGACGGACGCGTTACGAAAACTGGCCGCGTGGCGACACACCACCTCGTCCACAAAACGATACCACTCTTACTACAGGTACCTGCTATAAGATGCAATTTTAATGGCAACTAGCCGCCGCCCGCGACTTCGTACGCGTGGTTAGAAATAAAGGTTCACTGCTCGTTCCCCGTAGGTGATAGCGTTATAATATATAGCCTATATGTTGACCCGACTATTTACTAATATTCGTATTTGAAGTAAATCCATGCAGTACTTTTTGAGTTTATCCCGGACATGCATAGGGGCCGTTCAAGTATTACGTAAGCACTATAGGGAGGCAGGGGGGTCTTTGCATTGCTTATTTTTGATGACATGGGGGGCTGGGGGGTCGAGATAGTGATTACGTCATCATCATGGATTCTGGTGCCATGGACTGAAGACTGTTAACTGGAATTAATATGTATACTAAAAAATTGAAAGAAGTTTGTTTTGTTCGTAATAGTAAAGTTTGTTTAAATTTAAGTACTGCTGCTCATGAATACTCATGAATCAATAAAACAAAATAGAATACATTAAAGGAAAAATGCATATAAGTACCAATGCTTACATAAGCATGGGGGTGGGGGGTAAGAGCTTTGCTTACTTTTGCTGACAAGGGGGAGGAGGGGGTAAATAATTGTAATAAATCTGCTTACTTAATACTTGAACGGTCCCATACAGAAAAACAGACAAAAATTCTAAAAACTATATTTTTGGCTTCGGTATGGACTGTAGATCACACCCCATGTATTCTTTTAAAAAAATATTCATTGTACAGGTTTGACTTTCCTACCAATTTATTATATGTAAAGATGAAGTTTGCGCAAGTCGCGGGGCAGTAAACGAAATGTAGGGTGATTTTGGGCGCGTGGGATGTCACTGAACTAAGAGCCTCCGCTGCGTTAAGCGGGAGCACGGAGCGGATGTCCGCTCCGCATGCTGATCATGCCATTTCATAGAGCAGCGCTGCATGTGGCTGAGCCCACCCCGTGCTACGGAGCACGCTTTATTGACAGTATTTTGTACTCATGTCACGCAGACAAGAGCATAAAAGACTGACGTCTTGCATTAAAAAAAAACCATTATTTTCTGTTCACTCACGCGATCCAAATTCTACTGTACCCTTATGAAGGCACTAATAGATTTCATCTAAATCTTTCCAGTCGTTTAGAAGGAATTCAATATTAAAGAGAACGAGATATTAAAGAAAAGTTTGTTAGAACATACAAACGGATAACCCCAAGATAAACGGAAAATAAATTACAAAACGCTGTCTCGTTAAATTGTCAATACAAAGTGCCGTATCTTGCCTTTACAGTGTGTTATTACTTAGTCAATATCATTTTATTCTCAGGGACGTCCTATTTCTCGCTATGGCTGCACTCGGCGAGAACAACATCGACTTCGTAGCTCTCCAACGCGAATATACTCGAGCTCTCGAACAAGCGGGCGGGGAAACAAGACCGCACGATTTACCGCCATCTCCCACTGCAGTATGCTGCAGACATTACTTCAAACGGCTTCGACTCCAGTACGAAGACAACGTCGTTTGATCCAAACCAACATCACTCTTAATTTTTTCCTAGTAAGTCTCATTTCCCCGTGACTAATCTTCCAGTGGGTGGAGAAACAAGATCGCACGATTTACCGCCATCTCCCACTGCCTTATTCTGCAGACATTACTTCAAACGGCCTCGACTCGAGTACGAAGACAACGTCGTTTGATCCAAACCAACATCACTCTTATTTGTTTCCTAGTAAGTCTCATATCCCCATGACTAATCTTCCAGTGGGTGGAGAAACAACACCGCACGATTTACCGCCATCTCCCACTGCCGTATGCTGCAGACATTATTTCAAACGGCTTCGACTCGAGTACGAAGACAACGTCGTTTGATCCAAACCAACATCACTCTTAATTTTTTCCTAGTAAGTCTCATTTTCCCATGACTAATCTTCCAGTGGGTAGAGAAACAAGACCGCACGATTTACCTCCATCGCCTTCCGCTGTATGCTGCAGACATTATTTCAAACGACTGCGGTACGAGTACGAAGACAACGTCGTTTGATCTAAGCCAAAATCACTCTTAATTGTTGATCAGTAAGTCTAATTTTCCAATGGCCAATCTCCGAGCGGGTGGAGAAACAAGTAACATGATTTACCTCCATCGCCCACCGCCGTATGCTGCAGAAAGTACTTTAAACGCGTGCGACTGTGAACTGTTGCATTGGACTGTAAGAACGGTGAAAACTCGCAGGGGTTTATTGATATGTAAGCTTGAATATATCTGTTTATAGCCGTACTCAGAAATGTCAGTATTACTTAAATGCTTTGTCATGTTTTTTTTTCGTTCTATCTTTATCGCAAAGAAAGTGACAAAATCAGCTTTAGTCAAACTTAAAAATTAAGTGACTTCTCTGAGTGCGTTCGTAGTGTTTTGACTCTGTTGAAATGTATTCTGAATGCCGATACGGTGATATGAACTAGGTTGTCGAATACGATATTTGATGCGTTTAAGAAGGATTATTTAAAGTAAAAAAAATACTAAGTTTGTAAAGACCTATAGTGGTAAGGGTGATATCGGAATTAGGATGAAGTTACATGGTTCGAATTGAAAATTGCAGCTAAAAATATTCCATTTTATTTCTTATTATAAATTGAGTAAATAACAAAGTTGTGATATTTTTTTTACTCGAAACAAAGCAATAACTTTTTAAAAATGGCCTCAAACAACTTTAATCGTATTCATAATTCGGACAAGAAGTGTGTACTTACTGACATCGGTAATTATATTAGAGATGAACTCCTGGAAGTATGATCAACACGCCGTCCAAAGCTAACGTCTTTTAGAACGAAGATCATCAACAAACAGTTTTTTTTAATTATCACTCGTCCATCCTAACGGGAACAATGTAATGTGGGGTCACCTTAATATGAAATGCATGTGTGTATGTGGCTTTTATAAACACAGAACTCTGCTACGGAATTAATGAGAAAATCGCTGGCTGGGTATGTTAATAATATATTTTATGTATATTCTGGTATATATATTCTGGTACATAAGCAATAATTAGTACTGAATATACTATGGAAATTTTAATAATTCTGCATTGGTAGTTAAGTTCAATATTATATCGTTTTCTTTGCTAAAACCCAAGGGAAAATACTATATACCACAGAGCTTATAAATATATCTATGTTTATAACAATGGCGCCATCTATTTGTTATTCCGTTGTACTAATGAAGCACATTTTTACAAGCTGTCCGAAAAATATTACTTTAAAATTTAAATATAAAAATTATAGAATCCGTTCAAAGTAAATGGGCAAAACTGTAAAACACAATTTTTATATTGGACCTAATTTTGACGAAACTTAAATTAAAACTTTATCTGAACATATTATACGCTACTGCGTTATTAAGTTTTAGGTTTACAAATCATGCCAGAATCAGACCGTGTGTATTATTATATTTTTTTTTTACATAAAATATCACAATAATGTAACGCAATGACTACAAACTCATTGCGTTTTAGATTTTTCATTATTGCATTGAATTTTTCATATTCGACCATTGCCATAATTTTGGCATCGCAAAACCAAACGCCAGACTGTGTAAAATGCATTGATTTTATTTCTGTATAGTTTTAAGTATAGTATATGTAGATCACAAAAGTTGGGAGTAATTTATATTCAATGGCATGGCCTAATTAATTTGCCCCAAATATGTAAACATGCACGAGTGTGTAGCTTACTTAATTCTCAATTATGTTCACATTTTGGCATATCCATTATACTTTAGGATTGTGGGTGCTAAAATATTGTTTGGAGTGAAATCGAAGCACGTATGTACATATTAATGTTGTATAGATTAGGTTATTCGCCGCAACGCGACAATATAAAGAAATGTGTTGTAGAATTAACGCTTGATTGTGAGATGCAAGTGTCACGGTTGAATTCGTAAACGGATTGTAGGTTATAGTTTATTGTGTTCACAGAGTCACATTATTACGTCAGTAAATTAAAATATTTATCTTAGTTGCAGTCTTATTATGTATCCAAAAGAGAATCATTCCCCTGATTATTTTAAATAAATGTTTACTCATTCCACCAATTTCATTGTAGTACTTATATTTTGGCTGTTATTTCATTTTGACTTAAAATAATGTGACTGCCAAAATTTGAAAGTATTTATAGATGTATCGATCGACAGTGGTGTTACTAGAGATATGATAAAATCATACTAACCATGATTCATAAAAATGTATATTGTTGTCAAAAGACAATATTTGTCATTTTAGCATTTCATTCTGTAAAAGCTCATGCATTCTGGTTGAATGTTTCGATGAAAACAAAAAGGGAAAATACGAAACTCGCGGTCCGTGACTGACAACACAACGAAGGGTTTTGCATGTATCTAAACTTTGATATTTTTATAAGATGAAGACAATTACCATGACCGTTAACACTCCGAAGAGACAATATTCAGTAGATAATAAAAATATAAAAACAATACTTTAGTATACATTTAAAGTTTACAACTCTATCATAGAATGGACTGAGCGTTTCCCGGCCAATTATAAAGTAAAACCGAACAGAAAAGTATGAGCGAGACGAAGCGATCTTGCGGCTTATAGTTCACATGGGCACTGATGGCACCATCGTTTTCAGTTGTCAATTTTGTGCGAGTGTAGCATAGTATTGGCTAAATCATCACTTTTTCTCTTTCTAGAAATTTGACAATTTTTATGTGATGCCGACTTGATTTGACATCAGTCTGTTCTTTTTATTCATTCATTATAAAGAACATGGAGGTTAGAGAGAAGGAGAACGATCGGTATGTACTAAAGCATTAGCCCGCCTGCCCCTGACAATTTGTAGAATTTATAGTTCATTTGTCAGCCACCAGCCGCGCTGCCGTCGGTAAGTAGTATCTGTGATGTTAGCTGTTTATGACTATAAGTAGATGAAGTTAGTTGAATATTGTACATATTTTCTTCGCTGCATTTATCATTTCAAATTAGCCCGCTTTTGTTGAGACAACTTAGCGATCGCAGTGCCTGACTTATTTTGTCCATATTTCAGGGACACTATTTTCTACAGCGATCGTTCTCCTTCTCTCTAACCTCCACGATAAAGACAGACTGTTGTCAAGTGTACAAATAGCAAATACGAAATGCTAAGTGAAGTGCTGGCATGAGTGTTACATGGTCCATTCTCTGTCTTTTATATAAAATGAATAAAGAAATATTTCCACCACTCGCACCAATTAGCCTAGCCCCAAAGTAAGCACTGTAGGCTTGTGTTATGGGATACTAGGGTAACGGATAGAATACATTAACTGATACATATATAAGTATATTTATATAGAATTACATATTATACATCCATGACTGCAGTACAAATGCTCGAATTCATCACACAAACATCTGCCCCTACCGGGATTCGGAGTCGGGAGGATCTTCCGAGTAGGCGACACCTTGAAACCCGGCGTACCAACTACTCGGCTACGGTGGTTGTCGGAAGTTGTATCGTTTAAGCGAATCTGTCCACCCGTACAACAATAATTTACAATAGAATGGTCTTCCCATCTAGTTGTAGACCTTTTTCTTGAAGTACATACAATATGGTATCGTTTTTCCCCTTTTTAATTTCATCTGAGGTACCTAATATGATTCGTGATGCAAAATCAAGGCCATGATAGTGGATACACTTATCCCTGAGTATCGCTCTTATTGCTATATAATAAAGGCGCTGTCAATATCAAATTGTATCCACCGTCGTGGCAACATTGTGCCTAGTACTGCTAATATTTATCGAAAGTCCATGAACTGAAAATCAATATGGAGTAAGGTATATGAACGTGATCAGACCTATATAGCAATATCTGTTTTAAATCTTAAAAGTTTGTTTTCTTAACAAAGATTTAAGAAATGACTAACTGGAATTAAAGCAATAGCAACACTGCTCATGTTTGAACGATTTTATGATAAAATGTATTTTGACATCACTTATCGTTAATTAGCCGGCATGCTTTAGCAATTAAAAGCAATTCAATGTTTTTTTTGTTGTGAAAGGAATTGAGACATTTATTTTTTAATTGAAGTAGTAAATTCAATAAAACAACATTTTGACATGCATATACCTTATAATATATTTATAATACATTTTAATGTTGGCCTATTATTGTAATACACAAACATTAAATAACTCCAATAAGAAATGATACTGCTATTCTTCATGTTGTAAAAATTTACTCTGCAATACAAGTCTTCAGTACTTGAAACGTGTAAATCAATACTCATAATATACCTACGAACTAATGTTTGAAGGCAGGATGATTATTTATTTGTATAACTAACCATAGCTTTAGACACGAGGCAGTTTTAGTTTGACTAATATTTGTGCCTCAGGGTTCATAATTTCCACCTTGGTAACATATTAGCAATTTAAAGGTGTGTCCAAACACAAGCAATGTTTTGCGCGATGTTGACATTCTTTTATTTTAACGCTATATTAGATTATGCGTATTTCAAACGCCACGCTTGGACACACCTTATGTGAGCTTAATTTATTTTCATGTATCCAAATAGAATAAGTGATTATACAGCCGCATTCAGAGACGTTAAATAATAATTAAGTTTGACGATAAATAATGCTGTCTTTAGTTAAAATTAATTGACGACTCTGTGTACGGCTGATAGAAATGTTTATTTTTAAACTGCCTCAAGTGATGTTTATTACGCCATATTTTTGTTCCATTCATAAGGTACAATGGTGATAGTCACTGAATTGTATTTTTTACATTCGAATTAATTATTTATGTATGTAAGGTTTCAGATCAAAATTAAAAAGACATGCCACTGCATTACTATGGGTATATTAAGATGTGTTAATAAAATAAAAGTTTAGTAATTTTATTTCAATGGACAAGTATAATGAAATACATATAATTTTTATAAAAAATAAAAACTTCAGATATATTTATTCTTATTATTATTTAGTACATTTCCTCCTATGTTGAAAAAATAGCATAAATCCTGTAGAATGGGAGTCATGTTTATGTCTATGTATTTATCTTTCTCAAACTGCACTCTTCATACAATGTTATACTAATTACAAAGGGAATAAACCTTTGAAAATTATGGTGTGAAGGTGTGCATGTGTACACAATGTTCAACACATTTTATGATGACATGCCTAATACTCTATACAGAAATTTTCCATCATGATCATAATAACAATCATTAACTTTGTATGTTGCACCTTTTTTGTATAGTTTTTTGGGTACTCTAATTCTTTCTGGATAGTCCATTATACTTTTTTCACTTTTGGTATTATCTTCTTTGAATTCTGTTAATTCTTTAGCAGCATTATTATGATTTTGCACATCTATTTCAGTGCTTAGATCAGGTGGTTGAATAGATGCACTCTCATTGCTGATAGATTTTACTATGATTTCATCATTTATGTCAACATTTTGACCACTATCAAGACGGTTTTGGATTTTTTCAGCAAATTCACTGAGTGTCAATCTTTGGGATTGATTATGTTTTTTAAAATCTTGATTTGGAGCTTCTTTGTGTTTGGTTTCTTCATGTGTTTTCTCTTTTTCATTTCTTTCTTTTGCTGCACACTTTCGAACAATACTTTCAAACTCTCCCATTTTTTGTTCCATTGATATGTCAACTTTAATTGATTTTTTATTTAGAGGTGGAATTATTCTATCCGAAAATTTTAGAAAGTGCTTTCTTAGTTCATCAGATATCCCTAAAGAACCTTCTTTGAGTTCCCTCCAATTCCTCATAACTGATTGATCATGTCGGAGAATGCGTTGTTCTGTTGCAGGTTTCCATGGGTATTTAACTAATTTCTGTAACATCCAATTGTATATTTTATAAAAAAGAAAAACAAATGTATTAGTAAATTAAATCTTAATCATTATTCAGATCTTATAAAAGTATGAAAGTATTTATATTCAATGTACTATTTTTATAGTATAGATTTATAGTGCAAAGTAATTATATTTTCTAAATATTTGACAGCCTGTTCTTCAGGGGCTTGCATGATATTTTTGAGCACCTACAAGTATATCTCCAGGTGGGGCAATAGACAAATGGACTTCTATGTATTTTCTAGTCTGGGTGCTTGGGGTATTAGTTTAGGATCCAAAGCAATATAATGTAATCTAATGAAAAATCAAAGTTTACTAGTCTTTTTTAGAGAGTACTAAGTAGGCACTTAAGGTAGGGTAGAATTTAAGGTGTTAGGCTAGCTTACTTTTAGTAAGTAACAGGTTACCTGCCCAATAATTTAGGCACAACCAATATGGTGTTAAGGTGTTGCTTTGGGAATAAGATGTATTTTTCCTAAAATATCATAGCTTTGAGAGTCTGCCATCTCTGCTAGAGATATATGCATTATGCAAGGAGGCTATGTATTAGAAAATATTGCTTTAAACATTATTATTTATCAAAAAATATCCTACTATCCTTCCTACATCTTACTAATATTGTAAATGCAAAAGTTTGTATGGGTGTACAGATGTTAGTTATTATTTCACACAAAAACTACTGAACAGACTTTGGATAAATTTTGGCATGCATACAGTTTATGACCTGGATTGAGACATAAAATACCTTTTATCCCTGAAAAATGTCTGATTCATATCGAATTCTCAAAAAACTATAGTAAATGCAGACAAAGGTGCTGGTGGCCACTACTTTATTTGAACTATTTTACCTTGACTACTGGCACAGTAACTGGAAAGCTTTCAGCAACTCTTTCAGGAGTCCACTCATTTGGCTCTGTGGCAATCAAGTGACGGATTTGTTCCTTCTCACTCCAAGTTAGTAGGTTTGGCATATTTTCTTTGAAATATTTATCCTTAACTATGTGATAGCTTAACTCATATTTTCCCATGAGAGTTTCATTCATATGCTCATTGTATGCTTCCCCAACCTATAAAATTGTGTAAATAAATAAGTGAATTAAAACTAAACTTGATTATAAAATATCCTTAACATGCTTTACATTCATTATTAAAGATGTTATATCAACTATTGATATACATTCAATTTCTAAACAACTCATTAAAACTCTTGCCAGAAAAGACTTATCTAATAGTTTATTGTGCTGTATATGGCAGCCAACTTTTAAGACAGTTTTTATTGTTTAATAAGAAGAGTTATTTATCCATCAGGCTATTGAACTTCACCCAGGGGTAAATTAAAATTTCTATATTATTTTTAGACAAACACTAATTTCTAAACAAGAAATACTATATACTAAAACTACTTCCAGGGCCAAAGAGGTTATACTTTTTTTTTTCTCTTTTAAATATTCTTTCCTGGCGCTTCGCCGGCCGCTACCGTTGCACGCTCGCTTTGCTCGCTCAGCTCGCGCGTTATTGGCACAATACTAACCCAACCTAACCTAGTGTGAAGTATCACCGTTTAGGCCCTGGAAGTACAGTTTAGCCCTGAAGACTAATATTTTTAGCAAGACATCACTTGATTGAGTATAGCAAAGGTGGGCAACAAGGAGATGTAACGAAAATATTGATATCTACGTACATTAGTAAAGTCGCTTTCAGATGCTTCAATAAATTCTTCAGCATCTTCATCTTCAATTTTTAGGCCATTTTTCTGAAATGCATTAATTCTACGGTTTAAGCCAGGGTTAGCATTAGGATAAGTTATCCTACTGTTTCTTACATTCCTCACAATTATTTTGTCGCAGACGTAAATTAACTGTTGTAATCGTATATTAAACATTTTTTGAGGGGTTTAAACAAATCTTTGACAGAAGCCTTATTATTTTGAATATGTATAAAACACGACACCAATGAAATTCTAAACTGGTATCCCGTAGTGAAAAACTGGTACTTAAAAATAAATAACTTTTTTCACAGATTTTAGGTGCACAACTGCACATGCCCTGCCGGCTGAGAGAAAGTAATGTCAATAAAACTGTCTTGTCAGTGTCATTGTCAGCAATATCTGTGTAGCCTGTGGTATCATTTCGGGATAGGGATGCTCATAATAAATCGATTCCTTGAATTGATCCGATGCTATGACATTCATATATTAATTCGATGTATCACTGTATTTTCCTAAAACTAACCTTTATTATTTTGTTAAAATAAAAAACAGGACACCAATAATTCTAAATTGGTACCTACCTAAAAATAAATAATTTCTCAGATTTAATTGTACATGGCAACTGAAAGAAAGTAATGTCAATAAATTGTCACTGTCAGTGCCATTTTAATTATGTAGTCTGTGGTGTTATTTTAGAGGTAGGAATCAGGGATGTTACGGAGCTTCGACTCCGATTCCGATAAGGCGGAACTTCCGATTATTCCGAAACTTTTAAATTGGAGGTCTTAATCGGAGGTCGAAGCATAGCAAATAGTGACGGCGGCCTGCGTCGACCTTTACAAACTGGTTCATACACGTCGCGTTGGGAGTCTGTGTTAATAATAAGTAAATTTAAATGGAATATGATAATTTTATAATTAAAATGAAAAAAAAAATTACTGAATGTTGTTTTTATTTGTTCTTAAATTAAAAATATCTCTCTTGTGACCACTTCTGACTCTGCCTCTGACCCCGACTCAGCCTCCGACTCCGATAAATCAAATTTAAAAACTCCGACTCCGACCTCGGTTCCGATAAATTCACCTCCGTTACATCCCTGGTAGAAATGTTCATAGGATGTACGTATCATAATAAATTGATACGTTGTAGCGATCCGATACTATGACTATGACATCCGTAAAGTTCGATATATCACTGTATTTTCGTAAAAAATCGTTGACCGAGACCGAGGTTAGATTACTTGGAAGTAATCCCGAGTTTGTCGCGCTAAGAAAAGTGTGATTTTGCAATAAATCCGTCGAACACTGAATAAATCACCACGTACCTTGAACTGAGTAAAATACTTCTAGGAAGTCAGCACCAGGTGTCGAAAGATTAAGTACGGGAAGAATCTGATGTCCGCGCGCGGGATTTTCACTGTAGCTGTTCGTGGTAGCCTTGTCAATGTTGATCAGCAGGTTTCTTTAACGGACGGAGACGAATCCAGGATACTGAAGTCCAAATGCTATATTTCACCGTTGACCGTATTTGTTTGCAGGAACCAGGAAATGTTTTTATTATTGAAGTTATACTTCTTTAGGCGCGTTATGAAAAAATGATGAGAGTGAAATTTTAAGATGCGCGCGCATCACTGTAACACAAAATTTTAACAGCATGAAGTTGGCCGCTTTAGCGACCAACTTCATGCGTGACTTTTGTGTTTACCGCACATTAAGAAAAACTACCAACAAAATAGAAATAGAATCTCTATTTAGTGGGTGCTAACGACTGCATTGTGAAAAATAAATGTCAAAAGTATTTATTACTCTGGAACAACGGAACCAAAGCGCGATTTAGGAGACTACAGCGCCATCTCTTGACCATTGGTGTAGTAGAACCAAAAACCACATCTTTATTTTTTGTAATAAAGTAACAGTTATAGGTATTCATATTTATAATATCAAAAGTATTTATTAATCTGGAACAACGGAACCAAAGCGCGATTCAGGAGACTACAGCGCCATCTCTTGACCATTGGTGTAGTAGAACCAAAAACCACATCTTTATTTTTTGTAATAAAGTAACAGTTTTTTAATATTTATCCACATGTTTCTAGTTTGTATATTCGGAATACGTGTTTGAGTTTCATACAAGTGCAAATCACATATGTTCTAATAAATTATATTCAGTAGCGATTTTAATTGAATATTTTGATTATTTATTTTTTCAAATTAAAACTGAACTTTATTGACTGTGTCCTTTTCCAGACTTTTTATTAATTTATTGTAATTAATTATTTGCATGCAATTAAAAACTAATTTTAAACGATGCCAAAGAAGGATAACTTCTCACGCGCCTACATAAGTATACGCACCCATTTTTTTATTCTGTTTTTATGGTTCCGTACCCAAAGGGTAAAAATGAAATCATATTGCTGTGTTACTCTGTCGTCTCATCGTCTGCCTATCTGTAAGTATGTTACGGGTTTCTAGATTGTAAACGGAATGAGTAACAGAACTGAAATTTTGATAATAATTGAAAAATACTTGCCCAAAACCGAATATTTAGTTCAAAATTCAATTAAATTCTTTTTTATGGGGATCCACACATGAAAAGAAGACGATATTTTTTCCTTTTTTACCCCAACATGTGACACATCATTGTCTAAAGCTCGTTGAGTAGTATAATCGGTATAGTTTTAATTTTTATTATTTTTTATTTGCATTAACAAAGAAATGGGGAGCCATCAAAGTTGTGATTTGTAGACCATTTTTGATACGGGTCTATCTCATAATCGAAACTAGTTAGGAATGTAAAATTTTGTTAGATGTGTTTTTGTGTTGTTGTGAAAAATATGTATTTTCTTTATTATATACTTGAATAGAAGTGTTTCAGTAAACATAAATTATAAGATAGAATATGGGTGCGTGTACTTAAGTAAGCGCGTGAGAAGTTATACTTCTTTAGCCGCATTATGAAAAAATTATGAGAGTGAAATTTTAAGATGCGCGCGCATCACTGTAACACAAAAGTAACATAATGAAGTTAGCCGCGGGCGCGTTATGAAAAAATGATGAGAGTGAAATTTTAAGATGCGCGCGCAACACTGCAACAGAAAAGTAACATGAAGTCGGCCGCTAAACCGCACATTACTCGTAAGTATCGAAAAAAAGCTTCCAACAAAATAGTAATAGGATCTCTTAGTCGCACATGTTGGGACGCTCGTCGCCTCTGATCACTGTTTTCATATTTATAATATTTATCCACATGTTTCTAGTTTCTATATTCTTAACACGTGTTATAATGTTATACAAATGCGAAATTTATATGTGCTAATAAATTTTATTCAGTAGTGATTTAAATTGAATATTTTGATTATTTATTAAATTTTTCCAATTAAAACTGAACTTTATTGACTGCGTTGACTATCCTTTTCCAATCCTTTTATTATCTTATTGTAATTAATTATCTGCATGCAATTAAAAACTATTTTTAATAATTCCAAAAAGAAGTATAACTTCTCACGCGCGTACTTAAGTACACGCACCCATATTTTTTTTGGAATTATTAAGAAAGAATATAGAAACTAGAAACATGTGGATAAATATTATAAATATAAAAACAGTGATCAGAGGCGACGAGCGTCCCAACATGTGCGACTAAGAGATCCTATTACTATTTTGTTGGAAGCTTTTTTTCGAGACTTACGAGTAATGTGCGGTTTAGCGGCCGACTTCATGTTACTTTTCTGTTACAGTGTTGCGCGCGCATCTTAAAATTTCACTCTCATCATTTTTTCATAACGCGCCCGCGGCTAACTTCATTATGTTACTTTTGTGTTACAGTGATGCGCGCGCATCTTAAAATTTAACTCTCATAATTTTTTCATAACGCGGCTAAAGAAGTATAACTTCAATAATTTTTATTTTATTAAGCATGCAATTTATTTATGTTTAGTTAATATAGTTTAAGGCATTAAATTGGCATTTATAAAATGGAAATAGCGCAACGCCTACAAACTGTGAAAACAGTTTGGCGATAGATGTGTTTTGTAAACTAAGATTAATGTTAAATTTTAATAAAGAATAAATAAAAAAAATAGACATGATTTTTCCCTCTGCAGTTTGTTGCTATCTCCCATACAATGGACATGATTTCTTTGCCGTTTTTTGATCGATAATATAATAATGTCTCTAATGTTGTACACATAATAACGGTACGAAACCCTTCGTGCGCGAGCCGACTCGCACTTGGCCCGTTTTTTGAGATCTTCATGTGGAGTCCCACCGCTATCGAGATTATTATAACAATCGTATGTAGCGTACCTGGCGGGTGCGCGGCCATTCGGAGACGGGTTCCGCGACCCCCCTCCTCCGCCTCTCGGCCCGCACTAGGGGGACCGTGGTCCTCATAGTGCGTGTCGGGTGGTGGTGCAGAAGTATTGTCTGGTTTTTAGTGGCCCTGTTCAGGGTGTAGGTAGGGCGCCGTTCATTTCAGCGAGTCCCAGGGCTGTCTGAAGGGGACAGGGAGGAGTCCCACATACCTTCTTCTTGCTCCCCCAACCGTTGAAGGATGCGTAATGCATTTCCCAGACACAAAAAAAAGGTAATATGTAGCGTGTTTTTATGGTCTCAATGAATAAAGACGATTGAAGCAATTGTTTGTATTGTTTTTACTTCGATTTGTAAAAACATGGATTCAATTTTATTTTTAAACTTAAAACACCCAAAAAAGTAGGCTTGTTGAAAATATATCGATATATCGATATTTTTGTTCGATATATCGATATTTTTAACCGTTATATTTTGATTCGTTATATCGATACAAAATACCCAAATTCGAGATTCGTATCAAAACCGATATTTTTTTAATTATTAGCGGCATATCACGATCTAACTAAATTCGTATCTGGAAAAATCGTAACTGAATCTCAGATTAATGATATTCAACATATCTATAATCTGTGTATTTAGTATTATATGTCTATGGATACGGCCAGAGTGCACTCAGATTCAGATCCTGAAAACAAGCGCGAGAAATAAACAGCGTAGTCTAAGGGTGCGGCCAGAGTGCACTCAGATTCAGATTCAGATTCAGATTTCGAAAACAAGCGCGAGAAATAAACAGTGTAGTCGAAGGGTACGGCCAGATTGCACTCCTGATTTAGATTCAGATTCAGACTCAGAAAACAAAGCGCGAGAAAAAGCAGGCAACCTGCTTAGACTACACTGTTTATTTCTCGCGCTTGTTTTCAGAATCTGAATCTGAATCTGAATCTGAGTGCACTCTGGCCGCACCCTAAGGGTACGGCCAGAGTGCACTCCTGATTCAGATTCAGACTCAGAAAACAAGCGCGAGAAAAAGCAGGCAACCTGCTTAAACTACACTGTATATTTCTCGCGCTTGTTTTCTGAGTCTGAATCTGAATCTGAGTGCACTCTGGCCGTACCCTTGTGATGAATTCCATTATATTCTGTGGAAGTGTGTGACTGTCCAGTCTTGTTTACGAAAGATGGCACCTGAGAGGCCCTGCAATCATTTTCATCATTCGAAAATAGGGTCTATTTTTAGGGAGATAATTTTCGTTCCATTATTATTCCGCGTGTCATCTTTCATGAGATACTGTACTGTCATGTAGCGGCAATTTGGTACTTTGATAATTATATAATTATTATAATTTGTATTGTTATTATAACTGTGCTAGGCTGACTGTGCTACATATATTTTTGGGAAAATTAATCCGATATATCGATGTTTTTTTCAACTTTCGACATCCCTACAAAAAAGATCTAAAATGTGAAAAATAAAATGCCTGACCCTTTAACTTTTACTAAATATATAACGAAAGCACTCTTTTTGAAATTCTTATTCTTCCCCTTAGCAGAGAGATGCTGCGATACGTAGGTAATAATCTAGTGGGTTACTGTAGTCTTTGAGTGTCTGTTGTAGTGCTTCCAACTTTTCATATTATACAAGTCTTCTCCTCAATCAATTTTAAAGAGTCTGCACGTTTACCAGATAGGTTATTGATGCGAATCATTTACTGTAACTTAGGTTCTGGGTATCTCTTACCCTGTAAATAATTTTATAGATAGTGCTTGTGGCATCATCTGCAGTGTCCCATACAAAAGGAATTGCAGTTCACACGTGATATCTAGTTCAGAATGTTAATTATTTCTATACCTATATTTTTATATCGATAGGCCCGACAAATGACCACACCACCTGATGTTAAGTGACGGTGAAGTCCAGACGTTTCCGTCTGGACTTCACCGTCCATTCCATAATTTACAGAAAAAAAACAAAGATATACTTCTATCTAGCCATTCATAAGCTGCAAGGCAGTGCCATCTCTTCGCATTATAGGTAAATAATGTAACTGCTTGATGTTTAAATCTAAAGAAAATATAACTAGAAAAAAATCCACGCCGAGCAGGTAGCAGACGGGACTCGAACCCGCACCCGTCGCTATTCGGGGAATGCACTGACCGACACTGTCTTGCAGCTCTTGGCTAGAGGAATTTCAACGCGGACATCAGGGCCGCGGTAGTATAATTGGTCAGTGCATTCGCCCGGATAGCGAAGGGTGTGGGTTCGAGTCCCGTCTGCTGCCTGGTCCGCTTTTAATATGCTTAAAATAAAAATTATAATTATAATTGTTATCTCTCTCTTCTTTCAAATGTTGAATACTTGTAAAAGTATTCATTTGACATTGTGGGTTACTTATAATACGAAGAGATGGCGCTGCCTTGTAGCTTAAGAATGGCTAGAGAAATTTCGTCGCGGCCATTAGGGCCGCGGTAGCATAATTGGTCAGTGCATTCGCCCGGATAGCGAAGAGTGCGGGTTCGAGTCCCGTCTGCTGCCTGGTCCGCGTCGAATTTTTTCTAGTTATATTGTCTTTAGATTTAAACATCAAGCAGTTACATGCTTAAAAATAAAAATTATAAACATATACTTATTAAAGACTTGGTTTGGGATAATTATAGGACTGTGTATCTCGAGAGCATAACTCTCTTGAGAGAGATCATGGCGCTTGCAATAGTGCCGAAACATTGGGGTCTCGAAAAATAAAGGTACATGGTAGCACGCTACTAACAAAACATTTATTAGTGTTTGTGACCTTGAAAATTTAAAACAATACACCTTACCATATTCCTAAGAAGATAATATTTTAAAATGTTGTTCCGCCCGAATAGCGGAACCAGTAGGTACGTATTCTGTCTGAAATGTCACGGTAATATTATCTATACAGTATTGTGACTCCGCCCTGTCCTTGAAAATAAATGCCTACACCGAGCGCTGCGTTGGCACGCGGTAGGGCCGCCAGCCTACAGTATTTTATGTAGTTTTGTTTTTAACGCAAGTGTAGGTAGATTACTCGTTTGTCTCTTTTTTCATCCTAACCACTTATTTATATATTATTCCAGATATTTTGCCCGATGGAAAAACCGAAATACCTAAATATTAGAAACAAATAACGTACTAGTAGATAGGTATATAAAAATATTCTATAAAGGTAAGACACCTTTCCAATATTTCAGGTAATTTAAAAAATGATATCTCTGGGTGTGTTATTGAAGAGTTCAAGCAACCAAAAACAGCAATTGTGCTGTTGTACGATATCATCAATATCGTACAACAGCACAATTGCTGTTGTCGTTTGTTCTTTTCCATACTAAATTATGTAGGTATCTACTTAATTAAATCAAATATTTACAATACAAAACGCACGTTTAAGCACGGCTAACTGCATAAAAAACAATTCAGGCCGTTCGGTCGTCGTTGCGGCGCGGCGGCGCATTCGCGACTGGGTGCCCGCCGAGAGCCCATCGAACTCGAGTGGCGTAGGTATGACTCGCTTTCCGACCGTTTGTATGAAGATAGAATACTGTATGATATTATTACCGTGGAAATGTAGACCGATCGGATATTTTTTCTAGAAAAAAACAAATGATTTATAGATGTGGTAGAGTTAAATGCTCGCAACTTTTACCTAATATATTTCAGTCTTTTGCAACCGGAATAAATATTGGTTAAATCCGAAACGTTAAAAGAATAATGTAAAAGTACCTAAATAAATCGTGGTTTATACCCGTTCAGACAGTATTTTATTATAGGTCTATATGTTTCAAATTAATTTCTGCAGTGCTTTTAAGATGAGTATTTAATATCGTTGAGATTGTGGCAGTCAGTTCTAACATTGTGATTTAGAATTAGATAAGAAAGAGGAAAGATTTGATTGATTTTTTTTGTTTGTATTGAATAGGCTACGAAACTACTGGACCGATTTCACGTTAAGAAACCTACATTATCCCTGATGAACATAGGCTATAGAGTATTTTCAAAAAAGTAAGGGGGTTCCGTGTGAAAAATTCGATAACGTAACCCAGGGTGTGAAAAAAATAACTTATATCGCTAACGCTGCGAAAGACAGTAGAGCAAAGTAATGTAGTTATTTAAAGGACATCAATATCAACAAGAAAGTACACCATTTGTCTAACTATTACAGTTATGTCACAACTAAAGGTCCCCTTTGGTTTCACCCGCGTTAATTTGCGGAAAAAAGGTTATAGTGAGCCAAACTTAAAAGATGGGTGTATGATGTTGCGAACCTTTTTACTTTTAAAGGCGAATAATTCCGCTATACATGATTTTTTCCTTTAATCATTTACGCAGCGCAGGAATATTTTTGCCCGTTTTTGAAACATTTTACATCGATGATCCGCTCATACTGGTCGCTGCCTCGCAGCGTGATGTTATATAGCCCTATGCTTTCCTCAATAAATGCACTATCTAACAGAAATATATTTTTTCAAATCAGAACATTAAGTTCTGAAATTTGCGCGTTGTACCAAAAAAATGGTGCATTCGCTACATCGGATCCTAAAGTGCGCAACAAAATTTTTACTATCAGTTAAATAAATTTTCATGGAAGGTTTATAATTTTATAAAGAAATTCATTGTGTATAATACAAGCCTGGGAAAAAAACTATAGCCTACCTACACTACAGCTCTATACCGAAGCGAAGCGAGGGGGGCCACTAGTTTTATATAAATTTTAAATCACATTTCTTACAGAATAGGAAAGCAAAAAGAGATATGTATCTCTGGTGATCATCCACGACTACCTAGGTATATGAAAATGTTAATTTTTGATTTGGACACATATGTGAATGTAGTTTTGCCAACCAACAGTTTCATGAGCTAAATACTTCAAACCGCTTTGCCGCGCTGAGTTTTTTACTGCGAGCCGGCCAGTCTGTCTTCTTCGTCTGTCAGAAGTGCGCGCGCGCTTGAATACTTATTAAAAATCAGCAATTTAAGTTTTACTTTAGTTTTTAAATTAATGAGTGTGAATAAGCTTAATTTTCTGGTTTGTTGGTTGTTATCATAAGTTTATGTGAGATCATTTGAAGATTTGAAATTGACTTGTAAGTATTTATTTTAGATTGTTGCTACTTTGTTTTATAAAGTTTCGATTAAAGTATATTACATTCTCTAGCAATATGTAGTCAATATATTTTTTGGAATCGAACATTTTAATAAACAAACTTATTGCTAAAAATAACATGATTAATAATAATTGTTTCTAGTAAGTAAGTACCTAGATACCCCAAACACAATTTGTTTAAAATTATGCAAGGTACCTAGAACACATAAATATGTACCTATATAATAAAGAGTTAAAGTAAAATAAATAACTAGGGCAACTTAAAAGGTACTAAAGTAATGTTAATACAATACTTAATCATACCGAACAACTTTAATTACACAGTTAATGCTTTCACTGTCGTCGTTGTAATAGTTATGTCTCTCTATTAATATTTTATTACGATGGAAATAACCCGTTTTAATACTAGAAGTAAATACTGTGAAAGTAATTTCATCGTTTATACTTTCGCAGATAATAAAAATATACCTAATACCTAGAGTAATTAAATCTTGTTGCTTTTACTTTTTTAAATATCAATAACTTAGTTAAAAGACGTACGTCTTTAAGAGTTGTCTGCGAGGGTAACGCCTAGGCAGCCCTTTCGCAGCGGACGGGGAGCGGTGCGGTGGGCAATAGGCCGCACACTTAGCTCCTAGCGCGGGCAATCCTGCGCACGGCTGCGGGATCTACCGAAATACCCGGGGCTAGGCCGGGAGACTGTTGGGTGCGGAGAGCTGGGAGAGCGGTGAAGTCCCTCAACGGGGATTTCGCGGTTCCGCACTTAACAGCGTAGAGGGTGTTCGCAGGGTTTTTTAGCGGATAGTACGGCATACTCGTAAGCCGCACGGACTGCTTAAGGGCTTCTCCGTTTCGCACCCGTGAGACTTGCGGGAGGCTAGGTGTGAGGTCCGTTCGTCGTAAATCTTATGTCGTTGCCGACATGTTTTTTTATTAAAAGCATGTCTTTGAGAATTAAGCTCCATCTTACAGAAGAACACTGTTAATAAACGGTTAGTGGGTGAGTAAGGTTTCAGGACTCGTCCAGTACCCGAAGCACTTGGTGAAGTAGTCGTATTGCCATCGTCAAAGTTTCTATGGAAAAGGTCCAGCTTGTTCTTACGTCCGGTAGGAGAGCTTAGTTTATTAAATTAACAATATAATTTCCTCAAAAGACGGTTCCATATCTGTACATGAGATATTTGCCACTTGATAAGGAATTATTGAAGGCATAATTTTGCAATTTTATTTTATTTATAAGTGTCCTAGTTTCCGAGAAATATTTTTTTTTTAATTTCGATTTTTAATTTTTTTCTCCAAATATCAGCAAAAGTGGAACCTGGATTTAGTATAGAAAGGTTCTATAAGCCAAGTTCTGTCACCCATAAAAAAATCAGGTTTCACTTTTGCGGTTTTAAGAAGTTATGACAGAATTTAGATAAAGGTCAACTTTCATGATCTAGGATTGTCACAAAGGTCAACTATGAGTTAAATGAAAATGTTAAATTTTTTGTTTGTTAATTAATACCGTCAATCAATTGAATAAATAAACAACACTTGTGGACGAATATAATATACTTACATATACTAGGTACCTACCTAATGTAGATGTGATAATGTAGGAATACTTTATGTTTGTTCGACCACATTTTAACTATGTACCTTACACGCTAAACGGTAACGAAAAAATGAACTATGTTGCTTGAAAAAAATTTCAAAATTCATTCAGAATCATTCAGGCATTCGATCAGAAAATAAAAACAAATCTTGGGCATAAATCAGTTAGTAGGTGTAACTATTATTGTTACAAAAAAAACGTAGAGGTAAGCAGGCATGAACTTGTGTCTAATTGGGTCTCCAAAACACACACAAAACAAACAATTAATAGTTATTACTCAGACCCGAAAACGAAAATCGATATTCATTATAATGACTTCCGCCTTGACTGGGAATCACCATAAGCGTTCCTTTTTTGCAAATAGAGCTTGGGGCCCATAAAAATATGTTAAAGGTACTGTAGTAAGTTCCTAAAATCTACATTATTGTAAACTCGTTCAAAACTAATACACAAATTTATATTTTAAAAATTTTCGTTCGAGGTCAGGTTCGGTGTCAACCCTAGCATAAAAATTTAAAAATGAATATCTTCTAATCGCCGCAAAAGTGACACGTGGCTTATTTATGTATGAAAGACCACATCCATAGGTTTATTTCTATCGAAGTTCTAGGTTCCCCTTTTTCGTTTTTAGGGAGAAAAAACAATAAATACGAAATACAAAAAAAAAATTGCTGCTCCCAAACCAATGCATTTTTTTAAGCTAAAGAAACGCGTTTATACGCCTCTGATTATGCCCGATTGACACATATTTATTAAAAAAATATATTGTTAATATTCACTTTATAAAAAAATATTCTAGATTTCATAGGTCAAAGGTCACGATAAGTTCATGATTTTTTTTCGCAAAAAGTATTTGAGTTAGACTTCTGGGAATTGAACTCATGCCTTTTTTAGGGTATAAATAATCTATTTATGTAAAAACCTGAACATGTAAATTTTTTTGGTTCCATAAAACACTGTGCGTTCGTATGACCAATATTCCGTGATTCGCGTATTTTGTGTGATTGAGTAACAAACGTACAAACTTTCACATTCATAATATAGTAGGATAAGTATTAGCTAGCACCCGCGATTTCTCCCGCATTAAAGTAACATCCTAATCCGTTCAGCCGTTTTAGCGTGAAAGAATAGCAAACATCTAAACAAACTTTCGCATTTATAATATTAGAAAGTAGGATAGAGGTTACCATGGTGCTATAAACCTACTATTGTCACTAACCCTTAACTTTATCCAAACGCTACTATGATAAAGGTAAGCAGTAGTAAAATAATCGGACGCACCAATCGTCAAATCAAAAAAATAACTCAAAATTAGGGACAGAATAATAAACTATTCAGTGTATTGTACAGATGTGTTCAAAATACTACACATGGTAGGCGGGTGAGTTACCAGCAAAGTGCGACCCACACCTAGGGTATAAATAATTGATTTATGCAAAAATCTTAAGGTGTAAATTTTTTTGGTTCCATAAAACACTGTGTGCTGGTAAGACACAGGTTTCAATTTTTTCAAAGATGTAGGTATGTAAATATAGCAATTGGTCAAACTTGTTTACTTGACTGTAGATATATTAGACTATCAAATCATAACACCCAAATTACAAATAAGAAACTTTCTACAACTTTTTCCATATTCATAATTAAATTTGATCGCACGTTCCACAGTGTTTTATGGAACCAAAAAAATTTACACCTTAAGATTTTTGCATAAATCAATTATTTATACCCTAATAAAGGCAAGAGTTCAATTCTCAGATCACTATTTCCAGTAAAAAAAAAGATATAAAGTAGCAAAGTTTTTGAAATTTGAGCATTAAAAAATTAACAATATAATTTCCTCAAAAGACGGTTCCATATCTGTACATGAGATATTTGCCACTTGATAAGGAATTATTGAAGGCATAATTTTGCAATTTTATTTTATTTATAAGTGTCCTAGTTTCCGAGAAATATTTTTTTTTTAATTTCGATTTTTAATTTTTTTCTCCAAATATCAGCAAAAGTGGAACCTGGATTTAGTATAGAAAGGTTCTATAAGCCAAGTTCTGTCACCCATAAAAAAATCAGGTTTCACTTTTGCGGTTTTAAGAAGTTATGACAGAATTTAGATAAAGGTCAACTTTCATGATCTAGGATTGTCACAAAGGTCAACTATGAGTTAAATGAAAATGTTAAATTTTTTGTTTGTTAATTAATACCGTCAATCAATTGAATAAATAAACAACACTTGTGGACGAATATAATATACTTACATATACTAGGTACCTACCTAATGTAGATGTGATAATGTAGGAATACTTTATGTTTGTTCGACCACATTTTAACTATGTACCTTACACGCTAAACGGTAACGAAAAAATGAACTATGTTGCTTGAAAAAAATTTCAAAATTCATTCAGAATCATTCAGGCATTCGATCAGAAAATAAAAACAAATCTTGGGCATAAATCAGTTAGTAGGTGTAACTATTATTGTTACAAAAAAAACGTAGAGGTAAGCAGGCATGAACTTGTGTCTAATTGGGTCTCCAAAACACACACAAAACAAACAATTAATAGTTATTACTCAGACCCGAAAACGAAAATCGATATTCATTATAATGACTTCCGCCTTGACTGGGAATCACCATAAGCGTTCCTTTTTTGCAAATAGAGCTTGGAGCCCATAAAAATATGTTAAAGGTACTGTAGTAAGTTCCTAAAATCTACATTATTGTAAACTCGTTCAAAACTAATACACAAATTTATATTTTAAAAATTTTCGTTCGAGGTCAGGTTCGGTGTCAACCCTAGCATAAAAATTTAAAAATGAATATCTTCTAATCGCCGCAAAAGTGACACGTGGCTTATTTATGTATGAAAGACCACATCCATAGGTTTATTTCTATCGAAGTTCTAGGTTCCACTTTTTCGTTTTTAGGGAGAAAAAACAATAAATACGAAATACAAAAAAAAAATTGCTGCTCCCAAACCAATGCATTTTTTTAAGCTATAGAAACGCGTTTATACGCCTCTGATTATGCCCGATTGACACATATTTATTAAAAAAATATATTGTTAATATTCACTTTATAAAAAAATATTCTAGATTTCATAGGTCAAAGGTCACGATAAGTTCATGATTTTTTTTCGCAAAAAGTATTTGAGTTAGACTTCTGGGAATTGAACTCATGCCTTTTTTAGGGTATAAATAATCTATTTATGTAAAAACCTGAACATGTAAATTTTTTTGGTTCCATAAAACACTGTGCAGCACCTCAAATACCCAGACTCTGTTATACTTATACACATTAAAAAAAATGACTATTATTTTATAAATGTAAAACTTAGTATATTTGTTACTCAATCATACAAAAACTACTGAACGGATTTGGATGAGATTTG